GATCATCATTATATCATAACCTGAATACTGACTTCCTCACCATCCCCATCGTCATCAGCAGCATAGTCAATGGTGTTGCTGTCGCCGTCAGCAACAGCACCAGCCTGGCCATCAGCATCATCATCATTGCCGTTGTCATTACCACGATCAACACAACCACCATGATGATCACCATCAGCACCATCATCACCAGCGCGAGCGCCTCGTTCTAGACACCCTCAGCAGCTATCCCACCATCATCACCAGCACCACCATCATCGTCATCATATTCGTCATCAGTACCATTTGTGTCACCATCATCAGCATCACAGCCAACATTATCTTAGCATAAGCTATGTCGTGACCCTGGGTGTGACTCTGGGTGAGGAAGAGGAGGATGCGACTGTGGAAGGAGCCGGCGCGGTCGGAGCAAAGATTACTCATTGCGTGGATTTGTCCATATGTATGTGCATCGAATTGCATGGGCCTTTTCCGCTGCGGGCAAGCTACTTCGAATATAAATGGGCGTGATCATTTATCGATTGGGAGTGAGTCTCAGTCGTGCGAGTGGGGTTGTGCGCATGAGCCTGGGGCCTCCTGGGGCCTCTCGAAACCTCCTGGGGCTTCCTGGCGCCTCCTGGAGCCTCGTGGGGCCTCCTGGGGCCTCCTGGGGCTTCTTGTGACCTCCTGAGGCCTCCTGGGGCCTCGTGTGGCCTCCTGAGGCCTCCTGAGGCCTCCTGGAGCCTCCTAGGGCATCCTGGGGAGGATTCGTGCCCCATCAGAAGCTCAATCGATAGGAACAGACGTGCACAAACCACTGCGGATTGTAGCAACAGGGGAACGGCATTCTTTTGGAACACAGATAGCACATCACGAAGGACTCGCGCCCCAGGGGAGGCCCAAATTATATGAATATAAGTAGAACATTTAGGATTGGATGCACAGGGGAAGGGCATTCCATAGAACCATACGTAAAACACCAAGGCTTCGTGCTCCAGGGGAGGCACGACCTACAATAGCATACGTACAGTACATGGGACTGGCGCCACTCCTAGGGCCTCCTGAGGCCTCCTGCTCCTGGGACATCTTCGGACCTCCTGGTGCTTCCCTGCGCTTCCTGTGGCCTCCTGGGGCCTCCCGTGGCTTCATGTGGTCTCCTGGAGCATCGTTGCGCGTCCTGACGCCGTTGGAGCTTCCTGGTGCATCCTGTGGCCTCTTGAGTCTTCCTGTGGCCTCCTGGTGCCTCCTGGGACCTCCTGCTGCCTCCTGGAGCCTCCTGTAGCATCCTGGGGGGATCCGTACCCACGCGCCTGGTCACCAAACCAGGCAAACCGATCGAGACATCTTCAAATGTTGGCCCCACTTGTGGGCGACATTGGGCGCCTCGCTCGAGGCATCCTCCAAATCTGCTGCGAAAGTGGATGATGTTGGTCAGGCAACAGGAAAACCGTTCGAGACATCCGCGCCATTCTGGCGCGAACGGAGGAGAGATATACCCCTTGGCGGCTCCCCCTGGGGGGTGCTGAAACCCGCGCCTCGGAGACATCCTCAATATTAGCTCCGCCAGCTGCACCATCATCATCATCATCATCATCAGCAGCAGCAGCAGCAGCAGCGTCATGATCATCATCACCACCAGCATCATCATCATAACCATCCTCATCGCCATCATCAGTACCTTGATCATCATCCGCACCGTCATCATCATCACCACCATCACCAACACCAACACTATCATCATCACCATCATTATTACCACCATCATTCTCATCATCCTTATCATCATCATCATCATCATCATCATCAGCACCATCCCCATCACCATCGCCATCATCGTTTTCATGACCATCAGCACCATCACCACCATCATACCATAGCATAACGTAACACATCATACAATACTATAATATACCGTAACATAGCACAACATAACATATCACAGCTTAGCGTACAATAGCATAGTACTTTAATACGTGCCAAACCATACCATAGCCTGACATAACATGTCTTATTATTCCATAACACAACAAACTATAACCAACAACATACCATAGCATACCAACACATATCATAACTCAACATGAGGCGGATGAGCAGTAAGCATGAGGTGGAGGTGAGTTCTCGGCGCCGTCGGTAATAACAATCATCCCATCCTTTGGGTATGGATCAAGAAACCCAATTCTTTGGATATGGGGAAGTACGCACTGCGCGGACCTCCCCAGATTCGCATCTACTTGCAAGGACCGTGCCGTCGTGAGTGTTTAGGCGCAAGAGACTTCGAATATACACGGGCTTGAGCAGTGAATGATGGGGCGTGAATATAAGTGTGCACGAGTTGGGGCGTGAAAGAGTCTCAGTAGTACGAGTGAGTCTATGAGCATGAGTCTGAGTATGTCTAAGTTTAGGATGCGCGCATCTGCGTTCAGTGGCTTGAGCATGGCTGGGCGTGACTGAGTGAAAATGGCTGCGCGATCCTTCCCTCCATGATGAAGCAAGGAATCGGGGTGCTCATGCAAATACCTTGCGAACGCATTGCGCTTCGTTGGCTGGCCCGGAAGATCTCACGCAGTGGCTGGACCGTGATGCAGCCAGCCACGCCATTGAAAGGAGAGGCCCACTCTTCAGGAACGTGCGTGGAATACTTAGGACTGGAGCAACAGGAGAGGGGCAATCGATAGGAACATGCGTAAACACAACAGGTGTGTCGTGCCCAGGAGAGGCCCATTCTACCAGAACGTGCGGAAACATCTTGGATTGGAGCAACAGGAGAGGGGCAAGATACAGGAACATACGTAAAACACCACATACTCGTGCCCCAGGAGGGGCCAATGTTACAGGAACCTGCTCAAAACGCATCGGATTGGAGCGACAAGAGAGGGGCACAACATAGGAACGTACGTAAAGCACTACGGATTCGCGCCTCGGTAGAGGCTCAAAGTATGGGAACACACGGAACCACATAGGTTTGGAGCCACCAGAGAAGGGCATCTTCTAGGAGCATGCGTGAAGCATCAAGAGCTCGTGCCCAAGGAGAGGTCAAATAGATAGGAGAACATGTGAAACAGATCGGATTGGAGCCACAGGAGAAGGGCAATATATAGGAACATCTGTAAAACAACAGGATCGGGGCCACTCATGGGGCCTCCTGGGACCTCCTGGTGCGTCCTGGAGCATCTTGGGGCTTCCTGGTGCCTCCTGGGGGCTTCTGAGGCCTCCTGAACGCTCCTGGGGCACCTTGGGGAATCCTGAGGCCTCCCAGGGCCTCCTGGAACTTCTTGGGGCCCCCTGGTGCCTCCTGAGATTCTTAGGGCCGCCTGGAACAGCCTGAAGCCTCCTAGTGCCTCCTGGAGCCTCCTGGGGCATCCTGGGAAGGATCCGTGCCCCAGGATCTGCCCGATCTATAGGAACATGCGCAAAACACTCAGGATTGGAGCCACAAGATATTAGCAATCTATAGGAGCATACGGAACACATTAACGAGTCGTGCCCCAGGAGAGGCTCAATCTGGAGGAACATACGGACCACTTTCTGGATTGGAGCCACCAGAGAAGGACACGTAATGGGAGCATGCGTAACACATGAAGAAGTCATGCCCCAGGAAAACCCACTCGATAGGAACATACGCAACTTATATAAACATGGCGCCACTCTTGTGGCCTCCTGAGGCCTCCTGGGGCCTCTTGGAGCCTCCTATGGCCTGCTGGTGCATCCTGGTGCCTCCTGGTGTCTCCTGGTGCTTCCTGGGGCCTCCTGGGTCCTCCTGGAACCTCTTGGGGCCTCCTGGGGCCTCCTGGGGCCTGCTGTGACGTCGTGGTCCTTATACTTCCTGGGACCTCCTGGTGCCTCCCGGGGGCGCAGGCGAGTCTGGCAACCAGAACAACCAAACCGCTCGATCCATCCTCGCAACATTGGCACCCTGGGGTGCGACAGCCAGCGCCTCGCCCGAGACATCCTCAACTTCTGCTCCGAAAGCGGAGGATGTCGGGTGGTGAAACAGGCAAACCGCCGCTCGCGACATCCCCGCACCGTGGGCGCGAACGGAGGAGTGCAGCACCCCCTGGCGGCCTCCCCTGTGGGCGTGTTGACACCAGAGCCGCGTCCAAGGCATCCTCTAAATCTGTTCCGCCATCATCATCAACAACATCGTCATCATCATTATCATCATCAGCATCATCATCGTCATCATCATCATCCTCAGCATCACCATCACCATCACCATCATCACTCTCATTATCGGTATCATTATTATTAGCATTGTCATGCTTATCATCATCTGGCTCCTCATCATCAAAATCGTCGGCATCGTCATCGTCACCATCATCGTCATCATCGTCACCGTCATCGTCAGCATCAGCATCACCATCAGCATTTGCATCATCGTCACCGTCATCGTCGTCATATACCAACAGTGGCAGGATCCTTTCACATTAGCAGCATCCTCATCAACATCATCATCATCATCGCCACCATCAACCTCATCATTCTCATCATTCTCATTATCACCGTCATCACCATACTCACCATCATCATCCTATCATAACCCAAGTAGTGACCCTGAAAGTGACTCTGGGTGAGGAAAAGGAGGAGGAGGAGGAGGAGGAGGAGGAGGAGGGATGTGGGTGTAAGAAGCCGGCGCGGTTAATGATAACAAGAACCTTGTCATTAGGATATGGAGGGCAGAAATTCCATCCCCAGGATATGGGGAACATCATGCACCCCATCCTTAAGATATGCGAACACTGCCAAGTGCTCGCGGGGCCCACCAGCATGACGCAGTATTGTGCCCCAAAGTGTGCTTCGTGTTGTTTTTGCACAGGGATGGGGGGGCAGTAGTCCTTGTTGGCTACCGGTCGCCTGGGGGAGGGTGTGCTTATGTCATCAGCAGGGAACACTGAAAAATATCCCTCCCCGAAGGGAAGAAGGCGGGTTGGAAGAATCTTGTAAAACTACTCACGCCCTGAGGACTGGTGGGATTAGTCGTAATAGTCATGGCCCATAGCAATGCTAGTAACATTACGCAGGCGGAGCTCTCGGGCGCCTGGCTCGGCAGCAAGGTTTTGCAGATTCGCAGTTACCGCAAGTCCCATTCGAATGGCACCGATGCATTTCTCGGTGCGCGGGTCCTCGTGAGCGACAAGATAACACCACCTTGGCAGACTATCGAGGAGTTCGAGACAAAGAACCTTGTGCTCTCCGAATTTGGAGTCGTCCAATCGTCCTTGGAGAAGGCGACGTGGTTTCCCAAGAAGCGCTCAAAGGCGGGGCCGACTGCGGCTGGAATGTTCACCCTCACGTTGAAAAACATGCACAGCATGACTTCCGCCAAGATCACCATCCGCCAGGACTTGCCCGAGCAGGAACACTTGAACGTGGCAGTGCGGCAGCTGTCCCAGCTCGGCCGCGTGGACGTCGGTGGTTTGCTCGGCTTCGACGCACACCCGGAGAGCCTCGAGCGCCAGAGCGCCGCGTGTATCCACCACAAGGCCACGGCGCGCTACCGCATCGAGAGCCAGGACGACGCGGACCACGGTTATTACTTCCGGCCGACGTGGAAGGATCGTTGGGACAAGGTCTGTATGGGGAGGCTTAGAACCGTCAGAGTCAGGGGGCCGATCGATCTTCGGTTCTCAATGGGTGCGTCGTTCACGAGGGACTTCCGTTGTGCGGATCATTGCTCACACTATTTACATAACAACAGCCGTTGTAGAGTTCAAGTTTTGCACAACTATCTAGCGGCCTTCTGCTCATTCCATCGTGGCTGGGCTGGGGTTCAGAGGCCTCGTGGATGCCTATTAGGGTTGCTTTGGAGTCCTGGAGGCCTCTCGGAGTCTCCTGAGTGACCTCTTGGGGCCTCTTCGGGGTGAGCTCTAGGGAACTTCTTGGAGCATTTTGTGCGCCTCTTCGGGGTTCTCTGGGGCCCCTTGGCGGTCTCGTGGGCCATCTTGGCAAAAGAGTCTCGTGGGGCCAGTTGGGTTCTCTCCGAGGCCGGAAACGTCCGAGACCCGTCCTTTGCAAATTAGGTCGGGGCTCGGGAGAGGTCATTCCAGAAGCCCCAAGGGCCAAGGCCTCAGACAGGGCATTAACACGGGTGTTTGAGATAATTGCAGGGGGCTTGAGGCCACTCCACGTTGTGCCTCGGGGCACGGTGGCGGATTGCCCGCCTAACAGATTTCTTCGGGTGTCATCACTTCACAAGTGCCGGAGGTAGGGCTCGATCCGCATGTTCCAATCCTAAGCATGCCCGCTCGAGAAAGATGCGTCTTGGCCGGGAAATTGCACGCCCCAGGATCATTACATTTGCGTTTCGTGTATGCTCGCTCGAGGATGATGCGTCCCGGGCCAGAGGATGGTGCTTCCAACATTCTCTCTGGCACTCTTCTTAAATATCCTCCGTTTCCCGTGCCTTTCCCTCCTGCCCTCCTGTCCTCTGTTCCCCTCTCCTGCCCCTCCTGGCCTCCTCCTGCCTCGGTTGCTTCTCCTCATCCTCCGCTTCCCTCGTCCCTCACATCATCACCATCATCATCCTTTTCCCCGTCCTCCTGCCTTTCTCCTCCTCCGCCTCCTCCCTCTCCTCTCCTTATTCCTCCTCCTCCTCTTCCCTCCTCCTCCTCCTCCTCCTCCTCCTCCTCTGTTCCTTTCCCTTCTCCTCCTCTTCCTCCTTCTCTTCCTCCTCTTCCTCTTCCTCCTCTTTCCGGCCCCAGCTCAGCTCGACAACGAGGGGCAGCGACCACACCCAAGGCGAGTTGCGACCGTCGATGACGATCGTCGTCCTCCCCCCTCGGTTGAGCGTGGCCGCGCGCTACCTTTTATTCCAGAATTTCCGACATTTACTACACCCGACAATGAGCAACAACAAACAGCACTACCCTCTGCCCGGAAAGGCATGAAGAAAAACAGCAATTGGACAAAGAAACTGGCATCAAATTACGCAAGATACCCCAAAACACCGAAGACGGTAGTGACGATTGCGGCGTTCACTTGAAGGGCTTTGGATGTGGTGAGGATGAGGGAATCTGAGTTCTGACAGTGATTGACTGCATTGATTTCTTTGGGTTCTGATACTGATGAGGATGAGGGAATCTTCATGACACTGCCAGCGGGGTTACGTGCGGACACACATACTGATGTGTTTTCCATGATCCCATAACCACGACAAGCGTTCTTACGTTTACTTTGGAAACAAAGAGGCTCCGGATGCAGTAATGCATCATTTGGATGTATGATTTGTGAAAACAGTTATCCTAAAACCTGACTGCAGAATTACTGGGCTACTCTACCACTTCAATGCAAAGGGCAACTATGACACGTGGTATGAACATCGCAAGGAATAGTTCCACACATCAGGTTATGTGGACGGGCCGCCGTCGTCAAGACGATCTCCGACGGTACTGCCGACGGGAACAACCAGCGGGTATTATGGTGAATGAAACACCGCCATGGACGACACTAGCACAGCGCCAGGGCACTCGCGAGGCTAGCATGGACCAATGCACCACGGGCCTTCGTGACCCCCATTGCGCATTAATACGTAGACCTATTCGAATAATGACCCACCACCGTCTTTTACTGGCACACGAGGACAACAAGCGGTGCACTGGCCATCTTCAACATGCCTCGGTTTGCAGCACATGGATGGCCAAGGCAGCACACTGCACCCGGTGATGCAATCCCTCTTCGTCGAAGCAGCTCACATTGCACATGACACGTTCGCAGCTAATCGTGATCCCGTTCACGATCATCCTTATGCGTCATCCGTCCTTGCTACGAACGCACGCGGACTCGATTCGGATGGCCCAGCGATTCTTCGACATCCTGACGGACGCATCGTGCGACCACCATAGGAGGATGGAGATGTCGCGCATGCGCTGACAACGTCGACATGCATTTCTCATCGCACAGCAGAAACCCCAAACGCTGTAGGCGGTACGATAAAAAAAGACAACTATAGGGATTGTCCAAACTGCAAAAAAGAACTATGCAAGAGGCTGGGCTTGGCCACTGACTCACACCTGGCACATACAAATTTGCCAAACCGTGGAAGGTGCCTGACAACCGCGGGCAGGGGCCTCCAGCCCCTGCTGAAACAGCAGCCCCACCACCTGCGGCGGCATCTGTTTCCGAGGCACTCGCCGCCAAACAAGTTGCGCGGCTACTGGCTCCGAAGCCTGGCTCCAGAGCTGGGCCGACTGCAGGCGCCAGCAGCCGCGACATTACAGCAGGCAGACATGCTGCTGAGCCGACTGCGGGGCAACCTGCCTCAAGTGGCGCGTGCAGCTCGGGCGACCGCAGACGATTGCCACAAATAGTAGCCCGGCGTGGGCGACAACAGGGAAGTGATCCACCTCCACCACCACCTGCGGGTGACCCTGCTGCTCGTCCAAGGCTTCCAGACTGGTCAAGGTTTGACGTGCAGATCACTTTGCAGAACCTGCCTGCATCGCCTTGACCCGCGCGCGGTGACGCGCGAGTAGCGAAAACAACATCTGCGATGGTTCCACGCCAAGGTGCCTGAGATGAGACTCACCTTAACCAAGGCGGGTCTGGGTAGCGCGTGGCTAAACCTGAAAAAATGCGCGTGTGACACATGCCGGGAGAGCAGGGCATGGGAAAAGCTTGCACACGCTATAATGCCGCCAGCCGCGCTACGTGGCAAGTTCAACGATGAAGTCGAGTGCGGCCTGATGTTCTACAAGTCGGATCATAAGGTATTTCACGTACTCGGCCGTTGCAGTCGATGTTGTGCTGGAATCGCCATAGCAGACAAAACTACGTCCAGCGTCCTAGATGCGCATCGCCAGTGCTGGACCTGCCAAGGCGCAGAACTCTGACGGGGATGACACTCTCAACAATGACGCCGCGAAGGCAGTCCTGAAGGCGGAGGGCACCAGGTTAAGGATGCACTCGCGCGGACATCGCGCTAACAGTATTGGAGCCAGAAACGCAATGCTACGACGCCTATTTTCGCGCCGTGGAGGCTGAACTCCGCAGGTTAGACATGCCGCGCGTGTTCACTCGGCTATTGCATGGGGCTCTGTTACCGCCAAGGCGCTTACCGTCTTTGATGATGTGCACCGATGCAACGCATTGTTTTGCCGACGACCTACGATGCTGCCAGGCTTGCTTGTTCTAGATCACAAACAACAGACGGAGACAGCCGATCACGCTCGAGAACAGACTATCCGCCGGGTGAGCATTGAGGTCACTTCGCAAACCACTGCAATAGCACAGGCAAGCCGCGCGCTATGGACCAATGCGACCATCGCTGGTCAGCATTATTATGACTAAGGAGATCTGGTTGACTATCATCGCCCCGCAACTACGAAAGACGACTGGGGCGGCTGGAATGGACCCTTCCGGGCCGGGCGCCTGCCTACGCGGGGTGATCCGCGTGGCATTCACACGACCGAGACATTTCATGTCCCATTGTGTTCCACGGACGAAGATGACCGCTGCGGATTGGACTCCGACGAGCATGGGCAATGCGTGGATCTCTGCTTCGCGGAAGACATGTCAAAGGTAGTCTTATCCAAACAGCGGGTATATGTGACCGCTGCAGCTAGACGAGCTGCAGTCGTCAAGGAGGGCGGCCTTCTCACGAAGGCAGGTACAGGCAAATCACGTCAAGGTATCGCAGGCCCTGTATTCTGAATTCAAGACAGGGCTTGGCAACCAGTGTTTCAAGCTACAGGACATGCCCAATTTGTCAAACATCATGATTTCGGGATGCGTATGCCCATGTAATTTCGTTGGGAAGAGGGCATCGTGGAACGCGCCGTCGCAGTGCGCCCGGTACTTCGGGGTGCCATGGACCTCGATGCCTTCGATGTAGAAGCGCTCGCGACAACCACGCGGCGGCCGAGCTTGCGATTGCTCGCCTGCGCGGCGGCGCGCAGGAAGCAGTGGGCCATTGTCTCCCTCGCCATCAACGCGGTTTTCCTGAAGGGACTTGCGCGTCGAGAACTTCCTGAAGCAACCGGTCAAAAGGGACGCGTGGCGTGTTCTAGTTGGCCGCCTGGTTCGGCATCTCCGCTCAGATCTCTCACTGGGTTCGAGCGCAATGATGAGCCGAGACGCTGTTGAGAGTGCGTCACACCAGGTGCTGGCACCCAGGGTGCACCGAGAGTCTTCTCACTGAAGCTCAGGGAGACCACGCGGGGCTTTGGTCTCAGACCCACGTCTTGCGACGATGAGTTCGAGGCGAGCACCGACCTCCGCGTTGCCGAACATGTCGATGACGCAAACATGGCCAGCACCGAGGACACCGTCGACAAGTACGTCGAGCGCCTTGAGGATACGTTCGGAAAGTGTACCAACTGTGCAGTGATATATACTAAGGACAGCGACGGCAATGTTGTTCTTGGCCAAGATGAGTACACTAAACAGCTCCATCCTATCCGGCATCATGAACTCGCGGGCGCAGGTGCTGATGCTAAGGCATCGAAGATGGTGTCCGATATGTTCGTCAGCCTCAGAGGCTCACTGGCTTACGCCCTTATCACCCGAGCGCGGCTAATGGCATATATTGCACCACTACAGCGCCCCCCAAGAGGCGACCGATATGCGAGTGCGACGGCTTGGCGCGATCATTGGGACGCTGCAGGTCCGCTCTAAGAAGCTCGCTGTTCAAGCGATGACGCCATCGGGCCAGGTCGATCTGCGTGGCGACTCTGGCTACCGTCGCCTGAACGGCGATGCCGATGGCGAAGTCAAAGGCCATGGTGCTCGCGGGGCAAACCTGCTTAGGCTTGGACACGCGCAGGCTGGCAAGCCCGTCGTCCAACTTGCCGACGCACACTGCCAGTCTCATCGCGTGCAAGTCCGCCCGAGCTACTCATCGGAAACACGTAGCAGCAGCCCGCGACTTGGAGGACTGCTATCGCGCCAATGTCACTCTGCACGAACTTCGCGCAGGGCCGCTAACACCCACTCACCTGAATGCTATGCTTGAGATGGGCGGCCTTAGAATTAAGGCCGGCCAGACGATATCATCTGAGCCACATGACGAGTAGTTACTTGCGGGGTAATTTGCTTGCGAAGTGACTTGCGTGCAAGGTTGCTTGCCCGCGGGCCAACCTGCCTTTGTTGAGTCCGCCTGCTGCTGCCTACCTTGTGTACTCTGAGTGTTTTGCTGTATAGCCGCCGGCGGACTCACGCTTCGTCTCCTCCCCCCTTGATTGTAAAGCGCGCCGGGAAAAGGCGAAAGGTAGCGAGCGTTTGTCCGCGGCCGTTTGTGTTCAAGCGGCCGGCCGCGAAGATTTGACTGCGCTTCGGAACATCGAGACCGACAACAGTTTCGCTCGACATGAATCGCCGCAGCCGCGGCTCGTTCCTACTTTTGGTACTATCGTTGATACGGTATTACAGGGTTGGACGCATGCTTCGCCGTTGGCGAAGCATCTGGTTGGGCCTCCCGACCAGCTTCTTAGCCGCCATCTTGACTGCATCGGCTGTGACAATCCACCTTGCCGATGTGAGTTCGGCCCCCAGTTGCGCCAACACTCTTTCTGATGTTGTGGGAAGGCGGGTGGGAATAGGCGTGCCATGCGTGATTCGCTCGAGCTGGCTAGCTTGACTCCTACTCTTACTCCTGCTCTTCCCCCTCTCCTTCCGCCCCCGTTCCCCGCTCATCTTTTTCCTGTTCCATGCCTCTACCCCTCCTCGCCCGCGCTGTTTTGTGCCTTGTGCCCCCATCGTTCTCCGCAGGTCCGCGGCAAGGACCGCCAGCAGGACAACGAGGCGGTGGCCTGCCCGGCTAAGAGCAGCGGAGCAGGGAGGGGCCGGGGGCGAGGAGGAGGAATAGGAGGCGGAGGGAGGAGGACGGAGGAACAAGAAAAAGGGATGAGGGCGAGGACGAGGGAGGGGAGATGAGGAAACGGCGAAGGGGGAGGAGGGAAAAGCTAAGTGAAAAGCGGAGGGCGTACGAGGGAGGACGGGTGAAGAGGAGGAGGAGGAGGAAAAGGAGGATGAGGAGGAGGAGGAAGAGGAAGAGGAGGAGGAAAAGGAGGAGGAGGAAGAGGAGGTAAGGGAGGAGGAAGAGGAGGAAGAGGAAGAGGAGGAGGAAAAGGAGGAGGAGGAGGAAGAGGAGGAGGAGGAAAAGGAAGGAGGAAGAGGAGGAGGAGGAGGAGGAGGAGGAGGGGGAGGAGGAGGAGGAAGCGGGGGATGGGGAGGAGGAGGAGGAGGAGGAGGAGGAGGAGGAGGAGGAGGAGGAGGAGGAGGAGGAGCAGGGGGAGGAGGAGGAGGAGGAGGAGGAGGAGGAGGAACAGGAATAACAAACATCAATATGAGTATCAAGACGAAGAATATGAAGAGTAAGAGGAAGAGGAGGAGGAGGAGGAGGAAGAGGCGGAGGAGGAGAAAATCGAGGAGTAGCAGGAGCAGGAGGAGGAAAAATATGGGGGAGGGGGGAAAAAGGTGGAACGATGAGAGAGGATGACAGTGAGGCGTCCGCCAGCCTGATCGGAAGCAGGGTCGCCGGCACTATGGGCGGCACGATGTGCAAGTGCTCGAGCGACACCAGCGACAGCGGCAGCACGGACGGCGTGCTCGTCGAGGAGTCCCCCTACTCCATGTCATCCTCTCGTCCTCCTCCCACACCTCCTCTCAAACCATCTGGGCCCAAGGGATCTGGTGCCTTCTGCCAGCGTTGCCACTTGGCGCATGTCCCTGCGCTTGATGTGCCCGGTGGGGCTTGGTCTGCGGTTGCGCCCGTCGCGTAAGACTGGGGTGAACAACGTCTGTCGGACGTGGTTTGGTTGCGTGTGGGATGAGGCCTCTTGAACAGCCAGTGGGTCCTTGGTAGTTGGTAGCAAAGTTGACAGGACACAGGCGGCAAGAGTAAAGCAACGTTGCCTTTTCGTGGTCTGTGGCGGGTATTCAGGTGGCACGGGCACTCTCAGCAACCCCATCTCCATGTTGAAATCTCTCTTCCAGATTGCCTGTCGTATGCTTTCCTTGGCGTAGTCCTTCCCTGTTATCAGAATGGTGCGTGCGCAGCGCTCTGCCGACGCCCAGTCTTGTTTGATCCATCCTGATCAAATGACAAGCCTGCCGCAGTGCTTCTTGCAGGTTGGATCGCTGTATGTATTGCGATATATGCAAGAACGCGTTCGTTTCGTGGACGCTGCGAGGGGGGGGTCGAACCAGCCTTTCCCCCTTGACCCTGAAGGGGGGTGTTTTCCAGCGCCCCCCCCCCCGTCAAACGGGGGGGTGGGGGCGAACTAAGGGGGGGGGCCATGAGTTGCAAGGAGGGGGTCGAACCGCCCCCCCCCCTTCTCCCCTGATATTGGAAAATGAGGGGTCGAACCGGCTTCCCCCACCCTTCGCCAACGAGAACGGCAACCGGCGACGACGTCGAAAGTGACGAAGCCAACGACGACGATGGCGACGCAGACACCGATGCGGGGGACAACGGGGGGAGGAAACGGGATTTCGCTTGCGTTCCGCACATTTTTCAGCCATCCAGTGTGAACACTCATGCCGCAGCGAGGCCACCCTGTGTGCGTTTTACTTCGTCACAACGGGGGGGGGCCATGATAGGGACGACGTCCCACGTACATCCTGGGATATGGACATTCTGACGGTTGCATTTCGGACGGGCAAAGGGAGGTGGGACTTTCTGGGAACAGCGAAACATGAGTTCAATCGGATCCCTGTTCGCGATATTCTTGACCGCGCCTCGCCCGACACGATGTTCGAGTCGGTTGAGCTGGCCATCGCTAGAGCAGGAAAACTTCACTCCGGGGGGAGGACGGATATTCGGGATGGGTCCTGTTCGGGGTAGCAAGTTGTGCGCGAATTAGGACGCGATTTCCGCCATCGACGATGAACTTAAGCAGCTCCTTTGGACTTCCCAGCAGGACAGGCGCCGACACCATCGCACTCACAGAGATACGCTCCTGGCGGAAGCCAATGGGCGGTGGAGCTAGGAACGGACGGCGGAAGCAATGAAGATAGCCTGAAGAGCGGGCCCGGTGCAGATTTGGCCCTAGGCGGCGCGACGCACGTTTGGCAAGATTTCGTCCGCAGCCTACTTCACAGGAGTGGTTCAATATGGAAAAAAACCATGCATGGAGAGAGGTCTGTTGACGGAGGAGATGGACTGGGAGGTTTGGAGGGGGCAGAGCGAGAATGAGGATTCCAACGGCGACGATGACCCCGAATTGGGAAAGCTGCCTAAGCAGGACTTGGCCGATTACCGCAAATACGTGACGTGCGCTCCCAAGCGTCGTGCTGTCCTTGAAGGGGCCTGCCCGCTTGGGCTCTTGCATCGATTGCTATTCCCGAGTCTCAGAGTTTTTGTTTATCGTTGTTGGGCCTTGGCAGTGAGGCGACAGCCCCAAGTGTTCCTGGGCCATGTTGTCTATATATATACATATATATATATATATATATATATATATATGTATGTGTATATATCTACGTGCTGGCTTTTAAAATTTCGCAAGTCTTCATTCGCGCCACTTTATCGGCACCCCAGTGCAGCAGCAGCTCTACATCGAGATGTTCAACCTGGGCCGTTCGATGAGCGTGCTGCCCGCATGCTGCCGTCGCGCGGTGAAAGGCTCGCATGCTAACCGTTCACCCTTTGTTCCTACTGTTGCCGATAGCGGCTCCGTTCGGGGCCGCCCGCGGGCGCACGCTGTCCGAACTGCACATTCTTCTTCGCGGCAGCTGAAGCCCCCGGGTCGGCCCCGTGCACTATGCTTGAAAGATGAGCCGAGTACCTTCTCCAGGAGAACATATGAAGCGATGTCTGACACTGTTGTTCTGCACGCTACTGATCATAATCTCGCCCTCTGCCGTCGACGCTCTGAGAACTCGGCGGTGGGCCTCTCCGCGCGCGACGGCGAGCTGATTGCGAGCTGGTCTTGCGGGCGCCGTGGGGGCCCCGCGCGTCGTCTCGATGTCATTGGGCGCGCTCTCGATGCCCGCGACAGCGCGGGGGCGGGGCCGAACGCAGTTCGATGCGCGCGCTGGCAAAGTTCGCGCCGCGCGGGGACCTCCGCGGCCTGATTTGCCCGCGCTGAGATGCGCCGCCGGTCTCGACGGAGCACTTCTGGTGGATTTTAATCCGACGCACTCCGAGTCCTAAGCTAAGCTGGGGATTGTTGGCGCCAGCCACAGCTCGCGCTCGTCAGCCTGCGGCTGCGAGCAGAATCGCGGGCAGCGGGAGTTTTTCTTGTGTTTCGGCAATCGCGATGCCCGGAGTCGACAGGCCCTATGGCCACGGCGTCGCGATTGTCATGGGGGGCGCTGAGCGCGCAGTTGGACGCGTCGGACCGCGCCCGTCGCGGGGCCCTGGCCGCTCGGGAGGTCATTCGTCGCGTCGGTCTGGGCGGGCGCGAGGTCTTCGGCCGCCTGTCAGTTCAAGCGATGTCTTTGTGGGTCTGCACAAAGGGCACTATCCAGCGGCATGGGGGGGCGTTTGTTTTGGGGCTTCGGGGCCGCGCCCGACCCGATCGAGGATTGGCCGTCCGGGGCTCGCGGGCCTCGGCTGGGGGGGCGTTGTCCTTCTATTGTTATCTGGCTTTGTAAAACTGCGTTCCAGTCGCGGTCGAGACGCGCCTCCGACGGCTGCCGACTCGCGCGGCCCGGGCCGGAGATGTTGCTCTGCACGCCGAGCCGCTCCGCTGCTTTTTCGGATCGAAGGGCGCGGGCCGCTGCCGTCGACAACTGCTCGGGGAAGCGCCCGCGCGGAGCTCTTCTCCGCGGGCCAGGCGCGCGGGGGGCAAGGAGAGGGCGGGGGGGTCGGGGTCGATGCTTCCCCAGACAAAAGCGCCCCCATCCAAGCGGAAATGGGCCGGGCCAAGGTGCCAGCGGCCGCCGGCACTGGGCGGGGGGGCAAATGGGCAACGGCATGGCTGGCGGTCGTCGACGCCGGGCAGGGGGGGAATTGCAGCGGAAAGTTTCCTGACCCAGGGTCCGCTTCGGGTTTGGAGGGCGAAGAGGCTATGGGGTTCGTCCGCGGCGTGCCCGCGCAGGCCATGAAGGCGCACATAAGACCGAATGCGCCGATGATGAGCCGGCCGCGCGCGCGGCCGCGATCGGGCACCTCTGCGACTTGATGGGTGACTACCGCCATGCACATCACATTCGGGGCCCCTGCCGCGCGCTGACGCCCTCGAATGTGTACTTTTTGCCCGGGCACTTCGCCATCCGACGCGGCGCCGGCATGGTGCGCCGATCGGGGCTGCGCAATGACATTTACTGTCGCGCATTCGCTCCGTTCGCCGATAGACTGCGCCGATTCGCTCTGGGGCTTTATCAGTGTCTGTATCGGACCGCAGCTCGCTCTGCGTCGAGCCTGTGCCTGGCGGAGCCAGCGCCCGCGCGCCCCCGCCTTGGCGTCGGGCCCGTCGTCCTTGCCGCGGCGGCTGCCGGCGCGGGCCGGCGGTCGCACCTCCTCGAGGGCCTGGGCTGGGCTCAGCGGCGCGACTGGCAGCTGCCGGTGGCGCCTCCAGAGCCCAAGGTGGGCTCAGACGCCGGGCGCATGCTGGACGGTCCAGAGTGCCCTCCTCTGCCCAGCGCGAGCTCTCCGACGAGAGCTTCACGGCCCAGGTCGATTTGGCGAAGGTCGACCGACTCCTCGCCTTGCCGGCCGGGCTCGGGCTCGGCAGAGTGCGCCTGGGTCGTGCCTGCAGGCGGCGAGCTTCGCGACGGTCGGCCCCGTTGCGCGATCACGGGTTGGCCGTGGGGCTGGCGGTCGGGTTGGCCGTGGGACTGGCAGGGGGGCTGGCTGTAATGCTGGCCGTCCGGCTGGCTGTGGTGCTGGCCGGGCTGGCCGTCGGAGTGGTCGCGGGGCTGGCAGTCGGGTTGGCCGTGGGGCTGGCGGTCGGGTTGGCCGTCGGGCTGGCCGCGGGGCCGGCAGTCGGGTTGGCAGTGGGGCTGTCCGTGGGGCTGCAGCCAAGCTGGCCGGGGGGCCGGCCGTGTGGCTGGCAGTCAGGCTGGCCACGGGGCTGGCAGTTGGGCTGGCCGTCCGGCTGGCAGAGGGGCTGGCGGGGCTGGCCGTGGGACTGGCCGTGGGGCTGGCGGTCGGGCGGGCCGTCGGGCTGGTTGTGGGTCGGGCCGTCGGGCAGGCCGCGGGGACAGCCGTGGGGCTGGCAGTCTGGCTGGCCGCGGGGCGGGCCCATTGGCTGGTCGTCGGGCAGGCCGCGGGGCTGACAGCCAAGCAGGCCGTGGGGCTGGTAGTCGGGCAGAACGGGGGGCAGGCCGCCAGGCTGGCCTTGGGTTTGGCCGTGCGGCTGGCAGACGGGCAGAACGGGTGGCTGGCCGCCAGGCTGGCCGTGGGGGAAGCCGTCGGGCCAGCCGCGCGCCGCCGCGGCGGCGCTGGCCACCGCGCCAACCGCCGCCGCCGCCGCCGGCGAGGAGCCGGCAGCGGCAGCGGCAGTGGCGGCGGCAGCGGCCGCCGCGACAGCGGCAGTCACGCTGGCCACGGCGCCGCCGGCCGCCGTCGCCGCCGGAGGGGAGCCAGCGGCGGCAGCAGCGATGGCGGCGGCGGCGCCAGCGGCAGCAGCACCCGCCGCGAAGGCCGCCGCGACGCCGGCCACGGCGCCGCCGGCCGCCCCGCCGCCGGAGGGAGTCCGCGGCGGCGGCCGCAGTGGTGGCGCGGCGGCGGCGGCGGCGCGCGGCGGCCGCGGCGCCGGCGGCCGCGGGGGGGGCCGCGGCGCCGCCGGCCACCTCGCCCTCCGCCGCCGCCGCCGCCGCCGCCGGCGAGGAGCACGCAGCGGCGGTAGGCGGGGTGGCCGAGCGGTGGCCGCCGGCGAGGAGCTGGCCGAGGGGCTGGCCGTGCAGCAGGCCGTGGGGTTGGCCGTGGGGCTGGCCGCGGGGCTGGCAGTCGGGCTGGCCGCAGGGCTGGCCGAGGAGCTGGGAGCCCTGCGCCAGGCCAGGCGGCCCGCCTGCCGCCGTCACTGCAGCGGCGGCGGCGGCCGCCGCGCGGGAGAGGGCGGCCGCCGCGGCCCACAGGCCTGCGGCAGCCGCCGCGGCGGCGGCCTCCGCGGCGGCGGCCGCGGCGGCGGCGGCGGCGCCCACGGCGCAGGCCGCGCTCGAGGCGGCGCCCGCGGCTCCTGCAGCGTGGCGGGACCCGTGGTTCCCAGGGAGCCGGCCGCGCCCGCGACGCCTCTGGCGCCCGTTGCGCAGGCGGCGTCCGCGGCGCGGAAGGCGCAAGCGGCGCCCGCGGCCGCCCGCGGCAGCAGCTGGCGGCGGCGACCGCGGCCGCGGGGCAGACGGCGGCCGAGGCCGCCGCGGCCGCGCGGGGAGCGGCGGCCGCGCCGGCGGCCGCGGCAGAGCGCGCGGCGCCGCCGGCGGCAGGGCCCCCAGCCAGCAGGGCGCCGCCGCGGGCAGACATGGCGAGGCGGAGGCGGCGGCGGCGGCCGCGAACCTGTCCAGGGGCGGGCTCGAGCCGAGACGGCTTGAGCCATAATGGCTTGAGCCAGAGGGGGTACCGGACTTTGTGGACACTTGCGTGCCAGCTTGCATACATCATGCAAGTCTCCCGCCGTCTAAGACCGCGATTGTGCCACAAGTTCTCCTGGTGGAGCCACTCGTCCCGGTTGGTCTTGCACAGCTGTTGCACATGTCGTTCCTTAGCAGTCGCGAGTGACGCGTAAATAATGTGATGGTTTTTGTTGTGGTTCATGCTCTGTGAGGTTGGCTCCTTCCTCCTCCTCCTCCTCTTCCTCCTCCATCACTATCCTTCCTCATCTCCTCCTCCTGTTCCTCCCTCGCTCCTCCCATCTCCTCCCTCCTCCCCCTTGGTTCGTCCTTTGCCCTCATGCCGCCTCCTCTTGCTCCTCCTCCTCCTCCTCCTCCTACTCCTCGTTCCTTTTCCTCCTCCTCCTCCTCCTCCCAGACAGGCCGAGGAGGCAGGCTTCGTGTTCGCGGCGGCATCGTGGGAGTAGGCGCGCGCGGCGAGCCGCGGCGCCGCGGTGCAGCTGGCGCTGCTGGCGGCATCCTCCTCTTCCGGCAAGGGTCCGGCCGTGCACCGGCATCGCCGAAGGCCTTTCCCTCCCTCTTTCTTCGGCTCCTCCTCCTCAGCTCCTCTTCCTCCTCCTCCTCCTCCTCCTTCTCATCGGTTCCTGCTCCTCTCCGGCTTTTCTTTCTCCCTCCTCCTCGGCTCATCCTTCCTCCTCCTTCCTCCTCATGTTCCTCCTCGTCGGCTCCTCCTCCCTCGTCCTCGGCTCATCATCATCATCATCATCATCATCATCATCATCATCATCATCATCATCATCATCATCATCATCATCATCATCATCATCATCATCATCGGTCCTCGTCCTCGGCTCCTCGGCTCCTCGGCTCATCATCGTCATCATCATTACCATCATCATTATCAGTATATTCATTATCATTTCCACCATCATCATCAGCGGAATCATCATGTTCTTCAGCAGCATCATACATCATCACAATCAGTATCACAAGCAGCAGCAACATCAGCATCAGCATCATCAGCATCAGCATCATCAGCATCAGCATCATCATCATCATCATCATCATCATCATCATCATTTTCATCATCATCATTATCATCATCATCATCATCATCATCATCATCATCAGCAGCATCATCATCATCATCATCATCGGCTCCTCCTCGGCTCCTCTTCCTCATCTTGTCCCCCTCCCTGCCCCCGAGGTGTTGCAGGCGCGGGGCGGTTGCTGAGCCTCGCCATCGGCCATGGGTTCGAGAATCGCAGCGCGGTCCATGACCACACCACCCAGGGCCCACGATCGGTGCACACACAGCACGTTGACATGATGAGCGCCTCGGCTTCGGCAGGGGCCGCCTTCTTGGTGGTCGTGTGCGCGGCCACTTCTGCCACGGCTGCGTTGCAGGCAGTTGTGGGATCGATCGCGCCTCACCGCACTCCCTCTTCCTGCATTGTTGGCTTCTGGCTCTGCGCTTTCCAACCGGCCCGCATACTAAGGATGGGCAACCTTCCCACGGGTACACTTGCATCCTTGCTTTTAGGCCCATCCTTAGCGTTTTTCACTGGCCGCGCCCTGTTCGCACAGTGTAGACATGGCCTTCCTAGGCCCTTGCGTCCTCATCGTGAACCCTTATGATACGGGTGGACTGTAACACGTCAAGCTTCTGTCTCTCAACACCGTGAGGAGGGGGGTGGGAGGGCAAGGGGCCTCAAGGCGGCCTGTGACAGCCCGAAGACGGCGCAAGGGAGGCATCTGATGGCCCCTAGAGTGCTCCCGATTGCTCCGAGACGGCCTACGACGGCATCAAGATGGCCTCAAGACGGCCCAGGTGGTCCCAAGACGGCCCCGTCGATGACACCAGCGCAAAACAAAGCGACGCTGACGATTCCATTGTCGTGGCCCCTCTGCCCGCTGGCTTGACAGCACGTGCGCCTTTCTGGCAAGTCCGACGTTCGGCGGAATCGCATCTGTAGTCCACGGTTGTGTATCCTGGCCGCCAGTTGCCTTTGGCAGAGGATCTTTGGCGGGAGCAGGAGAGGTGCCAGCCTCGCGGTGAGCATTCCCGCGGGCTGGCAACGATGCGTTGTCTGCTCCCCTCTCTGTGGTCCAGGCGCGGCCACGTCTGCCACATTTCTCGCCCTGTGCGCTGCCACGCCTGGCCGACGCGTCAAGTTTCTGTCGGTCGACTCCGTGAAGGGGGGAGAGCAAATGGCCCCAGGACGGCGTGAGGCTGCCCGAGGACGGCCTGCGAGAGGCCAGAGGGCCAGAAGACAACCCGAGAGGGCTCCACGAGGGCTCAGGAGGGTGGGAGGCACGGGGGGCAGGGATGGGAGGGATGTGAGGGATGGGGGGGGAGGGATAGAGACGGTGAAGGAGGCAGGGAAAGGAAGAAGGGATACCACGAGAAACCAGGGGGACGTAGCCACAACACCCTCGTGGAGCGTTCTAGTATAGTTCCTTGACTGTGTTTGCACTTAGCCGCCCGTCCTCTGGGCGTGATTGTCGGTTTGGCGTCTATGTTGTCGCAGTCGCCGCCCCATCGCCGCCTCGTCGCCGCCCGTCGTCTGAGCCTAATTGTCGGTCTGGCGGCTATGTTGCGGCCTCGTCGCGTCCTCGCATTAAGCCCCTCCATTCCCCGAGTTTTGCGTCCTCTCTTGCGCTTGCACAATTTACGATTCTGCCGATTCTATCTCGTCGCCCAATCGAAATATCGATTCATTTCGTATCAGCGCAACCCGTTTTTTATCGCCCCTCCCCCACCCTTCTCAAACAGTTCTAATTCAATACTGCTAAATCCGTTTGCCAAAATATGTGACAATGTCCACTCGTTGCGCGCATGCCAGAACCCTTCAAACACACAGAGGTTTTGTAAGGATTTCAAGGTTGAGTTCACCACCGCGTGTGCCAAACACCAACGGCTTTGCAACATCACGTGTGAAAAAAAGCTGCGCGGGCGCTGTTGCGAATTCTAGACGCTTCGCGTAACCCCACCAGACGCCAGACACCACAACAACCCAGGGGATAGACTCGCTGTCCCACAGGCGCTTCAGACTCGGACCGCATGGCTGCCCCCAGGACAAGGCTGGTTCCCTTGCCCCAGGACCGATGACTCTCCCACTGCCATCTGGACCTCCGTCTTCTGCCGGGAGTGCGGGTCTCACACCACCACGCTGATCGCTAACACTAGCCTGGAGCCTGGCGACGAGGTCGCAGTCCGCAGCTCGCCTTCCCCCGACTCCAAGTGTACCCAATGGCCCTATGAGGTTACCTTTGATGATGGTGCCAGGTCCATCGAGGGCGCCGACAAGGTCTCAGGCGCTGGTTCCATCCTGTGGCACCACAACCCCACCACTGGCTCTCCCCAAGCCCTGGCCATCGCCATCGCTGCGCTCCCGGACTGTCGCAACGCACAAACGGCCGAAGTTGCAGGGTGCCGTTCTGGTCTGGCCCTGCTTCCCCACCCCAAGGGCCCAATCCGGGCCGCCAGGGTTGTCGGCGATAACTTCGCCGCCGTGCGATACGGTGCGGGCACCGCCAGGTACCGAAGGCTCAACCTTGCCCGGCCGATGGAACGCGTCCTTGGGCAGGCGGAAAGAGCGAGCGGGGTGGGTACCCACGTGGCAAGTTGCCAAACGGAGGCTGAACAAAGCCGCGGACAGTCTCGCCACCATCGGGGTCTACTGGGCCGACGCCCTCCGCAAAAAGGCGTGAGCACGGTCACCACACACATACAATGGGCGAGCGATGCCCCCACCCGTCCAGCACATTGTCCCTTCCACGACCGACCGGAGATCAACCTCTGCGACCCATCCGAGTCGGCCGCTGCCGCGTTCCAGCTGGAAAATCCTCCCTCCTCCTCCCCCACCCTGGCTCCTCTCCGATCTGATCGCCGATCGATCGATCCCCGCGGCAACTGAGGTCTCCGCTGCCTTGGCTCAAGCCAATCGTCCGCCACCCACCATTTACCAGTACTCTGCGGCTTTTGGCTGCGCCCCCCTTCGGCAGGATGACGAAGAAAAGCTATAATGGACCACTGGCCCGTTGGCCTTCCCCCACAGCCCCCTGTGCTGGAGTCCCGGGCAAGGTTGACGGCCGTTGCCCCTTCCGTGCGCGCGAGTGCCCGTGGCTCCGATGGGCGCATTTCCACCACGAGTGGTGCTGGTGGTGCGAGGTGTGCCAGAGACACTGCGACGGCAAGGAGCATCTCCTGGGAGGGAGCCGCGCCATCGAAGCAGGAAAGCAGAAAGACACTGGCTGGCTGGGCCCAAGACTGCACATCGCCCCAGGCAACCTCTGGACCAGGACCTTGGGCAAAGACTACGACCCGCACCATCAACAGACCACGCTGGCCTGGTTGGACGCTGCCAGACCCAGTTAAGGAGGGCGCCCTGCCCCACCTCCCAGGGTGGACCTTCCCAGAAGACTGGGATCACGTCCCAGTCAATTTCCCGTGCCGCGACGACCCGTTCGACTTCACCACCCCCGCCGACGCCGTTCATTCGACAGACCTACGACCGCCTAACCAGCACCGAGCGGGTTGGGGAAAGACTCCCAGGAACACGTCCAGAGCCTGGGGGGGGCACGGCACCGCCGCCACCGCCCCCGACAGACGCGCCCGCTGCATCACTCGGATGGCCCCCCGCCCCGCGGCACCCGTGGGAGGGGCGGAACAATGCATCCAGCAGGGCCTCCTCGCAGGATTCAATGGAGCGGACCAGGCCCGAACACGAGGGAGACAGTGACCATCGCAACTGGCCAGACGCCCTCCCCCCTTATGAACAGGCAGGTAATAATCGAGTCATCAGCGGCTGCAGCAGCGGACGCCATCACCCGTCTATTCGCTGCTCCCACCAACAACACTGCAGCCCAGCTTCTCTTTCACACCCCCACGGGCGCAGTCCGCTCGGGAGCGAACCTCCCAAGGCATTGGGGGCAAGACCTGCGACAAAGAGGACGCACCCTCGACAGGCTGGCCTGGGCCGAGTGCATGGCAGCCACCGGAACCGTCTGGAATGGCTCCGCCAAGGCCAGAACGGACTTGGTTAGAAGGCAGAGCTGCGCGCTAGGCGTGGCAGTCACCCCCATCGACGAGCAGCCCCCCTGTCTACTTCTCGACCAGTTCAGGCTGCGGAATGCATTTCCCGCCCAGCAGGGGAAGTTGCTGCTGCACCTGCAATGGCCCCAAGAGTTCAAGGTCCTTCTCAAGGGGCAGGAAGCAGGGCAGGAAGCCCGCACACTACTCCTCAGCATCACCGGCCCATCCGTGGACCAGGTCGCCTCGCTCAAGCTTCTGTGGCCACCCGACTTCGGAGGTGCCATCCCTACAAACGATTGCGAGGCTTTGGGTTTCAGACGGGGGGCTAAGTACCCCAGCAACCAGGCTTTGGCTTCATGCGACGAAAACAGATACGGGAGGTTCCACGCTGACGACAGGATCCCAAAGCCGGACAAAGTGGGAGGCGCGTGGCACAGGCTGGACAAGGCACCCCTTCGGTTACAGTACAGGCGGATCTCTACCTCCATCACCGAAATCTACAAGTTGCAGCAGGTCCCCGCAGACCTGGTGGGCGCGCCACTCGACGTCATCACGTACCTCCTCACCTTCCGCACTACCGACAGGAAGAATAAGACGCTGGGCAACAGCGTGGAGAACGCCAGAGTCTGCGGGCAAACCCTCCTCTCACGGGCCAGGGCCACCATCAGGGTCCAGGCCCCTAGCATGCCACCCGCGGTGGTGAGCAGCGGAGCGACAGACTCGCAGACCCCGACCGAGGCACCGACCACCACCCCCTTCTCCGACCATGAAGTGGACAATGCAATCGGACAGGTATTTCAACGGGCCAGGGACCTACCTTCGACTGTGGCGCTCGATGAAGGCGCCGCCAGCTCAACGGCGACGCCACGCGGGCCCTTGCTGCCACCATGCAGCACCGCGTAACGGTCGTGCACGGCCCCCGGGGAACCGGCAAGACAGTCTTCTCCGTCGCCGCCATGGACAGCTTTGCCGACTCATTCCCTGAAGGGCAAGCGGTGGCGCTGACTGCAGGTTCCAACGCGGCCGCGGACCAGCCAGCCCTCGATCTCGGCAGCGCGCGCCAGGCGGGCAGACTAGGGCAGAGGACAGGCTGCCCCAACAGATGCGCCCGTCTGGCCAAAGACTTCCGAGTGACGAAGGCACTGGCCCCGCCCACCCCGGGGGGGCGCTTCCTCAGCGCGCGCGGTAGACCCCCATTCGAAGGCGGATCCTCCAAAGAATCCACCGCATTCCGTACCCAGCTCCTCGAGGCCGCCAAGCGATCATCACAGCGCACGATTCCGCGGAGGCACTCAGGAACGCCGCCCCGGTAGCCTTCCCCATCATCGACGAGGCAGGGCAAGCCCATGAGCAGCTTATGGCCGCCATGTCGCTCGACAGCGCCATCCGCTCTGGCGGGCATCTGGTGCCGGTGGGCGACCCCGAGCAGCTCCCCTCCACCGTCCTTTCCAGAGAGGCCGCCGACCTCGGGCTCTGCCTCTCCATCTTCGACTGGCTGCGCACCGCCCTGGGAGACGAAACAACAGCCGTGGTGCAGCTAAGCCTCTGCTACCGCATGCACCCCCTGCTCCTGTCACGGCCTAACGTTGCCTTCTACAACAACACAATGCGTTCTGGACTCACCGACCCCTTCGCGCAGAGGCCGTTGATCAAGGGATTGCCATGGCGGAGGCCACTGCCCTGGGACGACGAAGGGCTTGAGGCGCTCGCCGCGGCCGCGGCCACCCCCAAGGAAGACATGGCTAAAATGCTACGGGACCTCACTCCAGGCTCCCATCGCGAGGAAGAGCGGCACCGATTCCTCCTTGCCGACAACCCCTCCCTCGAGGTCACCTCAAGGCTCCATTCAGGGCGCGCGAATCTATGACTTCAATTGATAGGCGCACCCCCCGACCACCACAACTGGCTTCCGCGAAACACGAAACAGAGGTCGCCCCAAAGCATTCACATCAAGTTAAATTTTGTTTTCCACAAAACAAGCTACGAACTTACCTTTCAGCGCATCGCCAAATGAGCTTGCATCGCGATTCACATTTTTATTTGAGCAATGCATGCTTGTGCTAGAGCCACGTACGCACCCACCAGCCCACCAAGAACAAATCACACCCAAAGGCGTTGTTTTGTTGCGTTCGTTCTTGCGCCGCCGAAGCCATGATATACGCTTTGCATCATTCAAAGGCTTTTGCTGGAGTGTATGCTGTGCTGTGCTTCATAGGCTTCCAATTTACACATTTCACCAATGCGATGAATGTCAACCGAAACTTCTACAATTTAGCTGTTCGACCCCCCCCCCCCCCCCCCCTCCAAGGCTTTACAGGCGCCACGCGTTGTCAAGTTCGGTGATTTCGGCCACCCCTGGATGAACGTGGTTTTGCGTGGTGATGTGTGTATCGATTCCCGCAGGGACTCTGAAACTCGCATCGGTCTCTGGAGCTCCAGGAATCGGCGGCTCGGGGGGAATGGAAATTTGGTGGAGTTAGAAGAGGGTGAAACTTTAAAGGGGTCGCGGGGTCTGTAGACATATTTTGTCGAACGCCTTGTGGCCACGTGATATGTCATGCGCGGCGCGCCCAGTGGCCCGCGTGCTCGGGGCGGCGGATCATCATCAGCGTGTGTCCTCCTGTAGGGGACCCCGACTCATCCCTATACAAACATCCCAAACAACTCTCTGTAGGCTTATGGTATTGGGGTCGCTCTGGGCCCTCGTCAGCCGACCGTGCCGTCATGCTCTTTGGGGTCTTCTGTGCTTGACAGCGACCTTGCAGGTCTTGGTGTTTTTGTTTCTGCGATGTTTCTGGTCTTGCGCTGGTCGCGCCGCTGTTCGCAATGGCGGCGCGGGGCCCGCCCCATCGGTTGATGTCGTTTGTCGTCGCCCCGCGCCATCGCCATTTGAGCATCGTGTTCCATAAGTTCCATATTCGTACGCGCCTACATGCATAACGTACTTCGCCCGCCGGCCCCCAGAGTTAGAAAACGCAAGCGGTGTGAACTTGAGTTGCCGTGTGCTTTCGTTGCCTGGGCTTACGATATGAAAGGAGTTGCGCATTTTCTTGCGATTCTTCAGTTCGGTGGCAGACTCCTGAGTTCAGTTTCGGATGCAGTCGGAGCTCATCTGTCCCAAGTGACTGCGTGGCAGAATTCAAGGCGATTCAAACATACCCGATCTGGAGATTATAAGTTGATGGACGTCGAAACTATTTCTCCCTTGCGTGATCCAGTTGAGATGACAGACTCGCAATGGGTTAAGCATCCAAGATTCGGCTTGTCGGTTTTGACAGATTCAGGGCGTAATCACTTCTCAGGTTTGGGATCTTTTGTAATGGATGAGTTTCTGCAATCCCGCCCTGATCGCCAACCGATCTACACTATGGAGCTGCCGCGGGCGATTTTGAATCCAGCGGCGAAGGGCGAAACTGGATGCCGAACGCTTGTCGTCCCAGCAGGTTTCGCGTCATCGGTTCACTGCCAACTGGTATTTTCGAGCGACGCCGTCGGGGGCTTCGCCACCCCGGTCGCCCCTGCCGCGGTCGACGAGGGCCAGGATCGCAAGAAGATGTGGTATGAACGTGGCAGAGATAGGAAATTAGATGGCAAGCGTGATCAGTGGGGGCCCTTGTTCCACATGCAGGCGGTGAAATTGGCGCACATGTTATCAGCGATGAATGATATCCAGCAGTGCGCCGAGACTGTGGCTGATATGATCTGTCCCGAGAAAGACGTCCGAAATTCAATGGAGATTCCACTTGGGGAGACTGTCAGGTTGAACATGGTGAAGCTGGACACGCTCACGATGCTGCATCAACGAATGTGGTACGATGACATGGAAGAGAAGACACCTATGAGCATCCTCATCGATTCAAGCCCTCAGGGTGGTTACGATTTCTTCGACGCCATTGTAGATTTTTTTCGTGCAGACCGCGCCCGCATCCGAGCTGCATCTTGATCCACTCGGCGGTTTCACTTTCATTCGTCGTCGCCTGCCTGTTTCGACGCTGGGCTACACCGATACGGCATCGAAGCTCACGAAGCTCGTGAACATGATCCTCTCGGGGCTCGGGGAAGAAAACTTCATGCGATTCAGGGAGGGAGTGAAGCACCTTACATCAGATCAGGGCGTAGAGAAGCACGTGGCGAGCGCACCTTTCGGGGAACCCGATGAGTTGCGACAAGTTCTTGCAGATCTGAAGGGTAAGTGGTTGACGTGTGCAAATCCTGGTTGCCAAGGGCTGTATTTCCTTATGAATGCGATGGAAGTCCCTGATCATTTACATGTTTGCTTCACTGCGGTTGAAGAGGCGATCGCAGCTATTCCAGAGTGGGCACAGTTCGAACCTTTACTTAAGGCCGTCACGGCCGTATTCAGGCACGAGAAGGACAGGCTCTTGGCAACGACTTTCAAGCACGCGCTTTCGCATGTCAGGGCTGGTCGTGCACGAGTTTAGTGGGCAGCGCGTCGATTGGAGATGGGGGCATTTGGAAGAGACTTTACACAGCATCAACATGGTTTGGGAATATCTTTGCGAGTATTTCGACCCATCAGATATGAACATATCGACAGAGAGGATTGCCCGCTGCCGCAAGGCCATCGCGCAGAAGGAATGGTTCAACGCCATGTCTTTCACCATTCATGTCTTCCTGATGGCGGCGGGCAAGGAACCTTCGTGGATGGAGGGTTGCACCTGCCATGAGCAGTTGATTGTCGAAGCCAGCAGCTACAAGGCTCGCCGCAAGTTGTTGAGGAAAGCTCTTGACGACAAGACTTGATGCTGCCCCTGGATGGGCAGGCGAGGTGTGCATTTTGCCTTGGGTCATTGCGCTGGCCTGTTCGAGAGGGTTCGCGCAGCCACCTCGCAGTCATTCCAGGAGATGCTTCTTGAAGGCGACGCCACCACAGCGGGCAGGATGATGCAGATCAAGACTAGCATTACTGAGCGGTGGTGCAGCGTGGTCGGGGACAAGCTGAGCTTATGGAACCACGTGCCGCACAAGATAGTCGGCGCGTTCGCTGAGCACTTCGGCTTCGACGCCGACATGGGGAGACGGCGCTGCGGGGGGGGACCTACTTCCTTTGACCTACCCCGTTCTGTTTTTGGAATGCGTTTAAATGAAGTTTGTGCGTTTTGGCCTCAGGTGGTCGTCCCGGGGGGCCGTTTGTTACGTTGTTATGTTTCTGCGGTGGGGCGCCGTGGGGGCATCGCTTTCAGCTAAACGGCTTTGTTTTCAACGATGGGGGTTGACGAGAGTTCGGGGGAAGTTGATGGCCGTTAAGGTGCGTGAGCGAATGCTTCCAGGAGTGGGATAATATCGGGACCAGGTATTCCGCAAACCGCGTGTGCTTCTTGCTCTCCGATCGTTCGTCGACGGTGTCTTTGCAATTGGAATCGTTTGGGGCTTCTCGGTCAGAGGATTGACGCAAACTGCATGACTACCCTGAGGCATTCCGTGAAGTTCGAGACCGGGCGCTTGCGAATTGCGTCGGTCGGGTCATAGAGGCTGAGCACAAGCAGACGAAGGGCGCAGTTACTCGAAACTTCACCTACGCGAAGCCAGCTGTGGCGCGCGCGAGGCAGCGCAAGTTGCAGGCCCTGTCGACCCTGGCTGACCCCAAAGCGATGCACTGGCTCGCGCAGCACTGGTCCGACAAAGATCATTGGAAGAGAGTTCTGGCTCACGTATCACAGGGGGACGAGGTCCCCCGTCTCACTCTGGCGCAGAGGCACGAGAAGGTCGGTTGATTGGTAAATCGGGGGCGTCTTGGATGTTAGGGGGTGCCGTGTCCTTCTTCTGCATGCCCTCCCCCCCCCAAAGCCCATGCTACGCTAGTCCACGGCGCTCTCAATTTCTCAACCAGCTTGCCTTCTCGCGCTTCCTTGCTAGGTCTACCAGTGCAGTGCCGATGATCAGTATGAGGACGTCTCTGTTTTGCAGTCTGCGGTCTCGGCTTGGGGCGCTCATGAGAGGGCTGCTGATAATGCTGGCGGTGTTCACTTGTCCGCTGAGTCTCGCCTGATGATCACACTCTTCAAGAATACTTTTGGTGGTGGATCGATCCTGAGTATGCCGCAGGCCGCCTGGGACGCAGGATCGAATTTCGATGGCGAGCCGTTTGATGGACTTACTTCTTCTGATTTTGTTGAGGTTCTGCTTGACCCAGACACGGAACCATACTATTTGTGGCAGCAGGTGTAGGTGTTTTTCGAAGTTGTCGACGCGAAGCCAGAGTCCAAGCATTAGTTGAGAATTCGGCACGTTGCGAAGAACTCGACATCTATCAACGTTCAGGTTTTCAAGGTTATTGAATGGTCCGATGGTCCTACAGTGACGCTGCGCGCGGTGCCTGGCATCGTGCGCTTTGATCTCCTGTGTTTGAACAGCGCAGGCCGCCTGAGGGAGCTCATGGAGCACTTCGTCAAGTGGAACATCGGAGAGTCCACTCGCAAGGTCGATCTCATTCCTTTGCCAGCGCCCGGAGCTCCAGGAATGCTGCCTATTCTTCACCCTGAAGTCCCCGACGAGGAGATCGCGATCGCGCCTGTCGGTGACGATGCGCGCGAGCCGAATGTCCTGACCCAGGGGGCTCGCCTTGTTGCACAGCACCTGGTTGACATGAAGGCCTTCTCTGTGTGCGACGCTCGTGTACCACTTCTTGCACTACCAGATGCCAGTGGCAGATCTATTCCCGAGCTGGTCGAGACAGGCATTGTGATTGAGAGTGAGAGTGCAGATATTGGTGATATTGAATATTCAATCGATCTTCAACGCATCAAGGTATCGATCGATGCTCGTTGCAATAGGCCCCTGCATGATATAAGATCGGATGACCGCACGCCTCCGAGTCGCATGGATAAGCTTCAATTGGTGAAGGTCCTTCTGCGCAAAGGCTGGACGCCATAGGCAGACGTGCCCCGGCAGCTTGTGCAAGGTGCTCACGCGTTCTTGACAGACGTCGCGAAGCGGCCCAAGATGTACTATCTGTGCCTAGCCAGGTCGGGTGCCATCTTTGGGCGGCAAGCTGATCTCGAACACATCGACCAGTATGCGACGGAGTCGTACTACAAGTGCATCGTGTACATGAAGAATTTGTGCAGCATCATCGCCATGGACGTGCCGAATACTTCGGACAGCACCTTCAAGGACACGTTCAAGGGCATGCAGCTTTACGAGCTTGTGGATGACATGGACGATGACGGCGAGCCAGAGCTCGAATTGGAGGAGCCTGCGCCCCCAGCCGCACTTCCTGCGGTTGCGCCGCTACCAGCCTTGATGCCAGACTTACACTTGCCCCCTGTGGTCTACGTGGAGGACGGGGTTGAGTACAAGGCCGTCTTCGACAAGTTTACCCATCTTAGTGGGCACAGGCGAGCATGCATCTATTGCCATTATCATGATGGGCGGTGCCGTCGATATCGTTTCCTTCGGAACTTCGATAGAGAGAACCACACTTGTGCCTACTTGATCGCCTGGGCGAGGCTGGGCCCCATCGCGATTCCAGACAAATCTCAGAGGGCGACGCACGCCCTCACCTGTGAGCCCCCCGAGGAGGAGGTGGCTCGCATGCGTGCCATCTTGGATGGCTAAGGTACTCTTGACATACAATTGAACTGAGCCTCAAGGCGTGAGCATGCTGGGAAACATCAAGATCAATTCGCATAAATCACGTAGGCACCATCCTGCCCGCAATGCCTCCATCCTCCCCCACCTTTGATAGTTCACTAGCCTGTTCCCGGCCTCCGACACTTCCCACTTATCATAATCATGATCACTTCCTCCGTCACCGTACTCACCACAACCAGCTTCATCACCATCGTTAGCCTTGCCATCCTCAGGATCGACACCCCAGACATCGCAGTCACCATCAGCACCACCACCAGCATCAAGCGCACGGATGCAGATATGCGCGTCAACACCTACATCGCCGTTCCCACCGCCAAAGCTTAGCATCGCTCAGCATAGTCTAGCACAGCTTAGCATTAGCGCCGCAGACGAAGCCACTGCAAGCACCAACATGCTACCAGTCGTAAACACCAGCGTCGTCAAGGTCAGTCATCATGGGCAGCTATATGGATATGCATTGAGGGCGTTTCGCGCAGGGGGTGTGTCCACTGGCACTGTTGGATCCCAAAAAGGTTTCAGCATGCCCCCCAGAGGCCACAAGGATAGCAATTCAGCGAATCTATATGCGCACAGTACCGCGCCACACAGCTGGGCACTCTTGACGCCGTCTTGCCCTTTCCGTGTGGCCACTAGAGCACGCAGGATCCCAGCTCCCCCTGAGATGATGACGACGACGACGCTCAATCGCCGCCCAGTACCGATGTCCCGCCGATGTCCCGCCGCTGTCCCGCCGCTGCCCCGCCGCTGTCCCGCCACTGTCCCGCCGCTGTCCCGCCGTTGTCCCGCCACTGTCTCGCCGTTGTCCCGCCGCTGTCCCGCCGCTGTCCCGCCGCTGTTCCGCCGCTGTCCCGCCGCTATCCCGCCGTTGTCCCGCCGCTGTCCCGCCGCTGTCCCGCCGCTGTCCCGCCGCTGTCCCGCCGTCGTCCGCCGTGGCGTCGATGGGCGACGTCGAGGCGCAAGGTCCGAAGCCTCCCGAAGCGGCCCCGGGGCCCAAATCCTCGTGACACGATGCCTCCCAGAGCAGAGAGCCATGAATTGCAAGGGGGCTGCGCTGAAATACATCCGTGAGTCCACATCTTCACAGTGGGTAGCCATTCGACGTCAAGTTTCAGTTTTGGCTTGGGGAGTGAGCCTTACTTCAGACGCCTTCAATGCCAGCGCATGATTCGGACGTGCTCAGTATATCTAGCGACGACCCTCCTGATATCTTCACTCACACCACTCTTGAAGAGATGACTTCGGGCATGGAGATCGAGGGGCAGTCGCTGCAGCCCGGCGGGACTTGCCGAAGAGCGAGTTCGAGAACGGCCAGGATTGTCCGCGCGTTTGCGATCGTTTCGATTTGTTTGATGTTCCCGATCCCGAGCCACAGAGAAAGACAAGAACCCCCAGGACCAAAGTCAAAACAGCTCGCCTCGGAGAATGGACACCAAAGATTTCCAAGGCCCTGACAGTAGAGAGCTTCCGAGTGAGACCCTTCCCCTGTGTCGGGCGTTGCAAGCCTTGCAAGCGCCCGGCTGATGAGGCCACTCCTCAGCCTAAGGTGTTAGGGATCCTGCGTTCGCCAGCCAGTTTAGCACCTGTCTCCCGCAAATGTTAGGGCCAGGGACTGCTGCTACTCGCGTTCATGAGTGTAGCTCGTGGGAAGAGGTGGGTGCCGAATATCACAGATCCTCGTCTGTTTCGTAGTCTGCCCTCTGTCCTCCTCATCCTGGCTACGTGGCTTGACATTCCCCTTCTCAGCCCTCGCACTTCCCCCATTCTGCCGACCCTCGATTCCTCCTCCCCCTCCCCCCCCGAAGGGGGAGGAGGAGGGGGGGCAGGGGTGGGGGGGGAGGAGGAGGAGAAGCCCACCCTCACTTCGCTATGGATCCAAATGAGAGACGGGGGGATACGATAAACAAGCGATCGCACTAAACAAGATCAGGTCGACAAGAGAGAAGCGACACTGAAACGAACAAGCGAGTAGGCACGCTCTTCCGTAGCAATTTGGGCTCAAATGTTTGAGGCTCTGCGCTCAGCTACAGGCTGCCACGCCCATCGATGGAGTTTCCTGTCTTGGAGCCTCTCCCACTTCGCTTCGACAGAGCTGGAGAGCCCAGGCCGACGTTGCGGCTTGCACGAGAGCTTCCGATCTCAGAGCCGTGCGCAGGCATGTTTAGTACTCACGTTTGTCTTAGAGAGTGGGGCATCAACTACAGACCAGTGAACGTCTTCGATATGATCGAGTGCTACAGAGGTCTGTGGAATCATTGGTTTGGCGAGAACCTCGCGAGATAGTTCCGATGCGGGCGAGAAGGCGACTTGCTGCAGTTCCCTCTTGCTGGGCTCAAGGATTGCGACGGGCTTATCGGGGGGCCGCCCTGCCCTCCATGGGCTGCGAACGGGAAGCGCAAGGGTTGCCGAGATGTTTGCAGCCTCGTGTATGATAGGCTCATTGAGTGGATCGTGCATCTTGCATCACGCGGTCAATTGCTCTTCTTTGCCCTGGAGAATGCCACAGGTATCTTGTCAGAGTCCTCAGCCGGTCATGGTTCTCAGCGTTACGTCGACTACGTGATCAACTCCTTCAGGAAGCACATCCCCTTCTTCTCCGTGACTTATCACGTGGTGGATACTGCGACGCTGACGCCTCAGAGGCGCAAGCGATGCTGGGTCGTCGGCGTCAGGAAGGATGTTCTTAGAGGGCAGCCACTTCCATCTCCGCTACCCATTGAGCGGCTTCCCAAGGTCGACCTTGCGGATCTGCTCAACCCCAGCCTCGCGAACTTGGGCCCAGACGACTTGGACGATCGGCTCCGCCGCAACCTGGCAGACTACATGGGGTTCTCTTAGAGCAGGTGCAAAGCGGGGGGCGGAGCGGAGCCAGGGTCGTCATCTTCGATTTGGAAAGAGGTTTCGGCAAAGGGTGGAAGCCAAACATCGCCTACGACGAAGCGCCCGCCTTCACCACCAAGACTACCAAACTGTTCGTGGCGAGCACCACCGAGCTGGACCTTGACCCTTTCAATCGGATGTACCGTCGTTTTCTGGCACCGGAGGAGAGGCTCGCGATGCAGGGCCATGGGCCTGACGTGGCGCGTTTCTTGGGCGAGGCGGCGCTGGTTAAGGCATGCGGGGATGCCTTCCCTGTGCCGATGGTAGGCGCCGTGATCATCCCTGTATTGCAGGCCGTCTGGGACGGCGGGATAGCGACGGAGGGCCACGTCTCGCGCTCGAGCCTGGAGGAGCTGCGAGCTCTTTCGTAACTGCTGATGGCCCGAGCTTTTGTTTCAGTCGTTTCTGTAGTTGAGGCGGCGCGATTGCGCCAGAGACTCCCGGGGCGCCCCGATCGACTCAGTTTGCCGATTTCGCCTCGTTCTGTTTGGCGGCCGTTCGTTGCGAAACCTTCGCTGTTTGATTCTAGCCTTGGATCGCAGAGACCTCTGTGCCGCCAGTAGGAGAGCAATGGTGCCAAGACACCTTGAGCAACAATTTGAGCACGCAAGCGAGCTAGATATATGACTACGGACGAGACGTGAGCGTTGAATGAAAGCGAGAAACGATGCGCGACAGGGTCGAAAAATATTGACAGCAAGCGGTGAAGAGAAGGGGGGGAGAAGGCGGAGGAGGAGGAGGAGGAGGGGGAGCAGGAGGAGCAGGAGGAGGAGGAGGAGGAGGAGGGTGGAGGAGGAGGAGGACACGTCTGGCATGACCACACAGGAACACTAAACCGAAAGACCCTGGCTATCCGTAGACCATTTTGACTCAAGCCCCGAGTCAGGCGAGTCGGCGTCGGACTCGCAATATACGACCGACGGCCACGGCATCCTCGACCGATGCCCCATCCGCCGCCGCCGCCAGCGCGCATGAGCAGCTTCTCGCGCTGACGTGTATGAAGTGCCAGGAAGCGATTACCATGTCGACGTCTTACCCCTCTGGCGCGCGCAATCCTTTGCGCAGGGTGTGCAATATTTGCAGCTCGACTGACCGGGCGGCAGCCAGGCGCACTGCTGAGTACACAAAGAAGAAGGATGCGAAGAAGCCGCTGACTGATGAGGACGTGGACGTGATGGCGAACATCAACAAAATGGCCCCAGACGAGAAGGCGGCCTTCTACCGCGCCGAGAAGGTGGGGGGGCGGCCATGGGCACGAACGCATGCGACAAATAACATTGATCTCTGAAATCCCTGGGCTGTTTGTTTGTTTGGGTCCGATGCCAGCGTTTTAACCTGGAGCGGAAGTTGTCGCTGCATTCGCGCCTTCGAATTCGCCATCGCACCCAAAAGGCGAAGCAGGTGGCCAAGGGCGGCTCGAGCAATGGGAAGCGCAGCTTCGCAGGCGTCAAGGGCTCCGTCGAGCGCAGCAAGGTTCAGAGTTTGACGCGAGATGAGCTGGACCTCTCCGAAACGTTCGAAGACTTCGCCCTCAGGCAGATCGGCTTCAAGCGCTGTGAGGACGAGGCAGGTGCGAAACCATTATGGCTCGAGGCTCTGGCTGACCCTCAGAAACAGAAGATCAAGTTTCGTGGCCAGTGGTTGCTCGGTAAGTTCGGCGGCGCCGCCATGCACAAAGCGGTATCTGACGAGTTGAGGAACGCCTTGAAGCTGGCTCAGATGATTGACAGCAAGGAGGGCCTCGACGAGTTCCTGACAGAGAGCGCGGATCTTCAGGCGCGCCGCGAGAAGGGGATCAAGAAGGACTACATGGTGCAGCCCGACAAGGACCAGCCAGAGGTGAACGACTACGACGTCGAGGGCAGCGTGAAGGTCGACGAGGGGACGATTAGCGACAGGGCTGTCATGAAGACGATCACCGCGCAGATCGCCAAGATGGCCGAGGACCTGGCCGAGCAGGAGAAGAGCATCATCGAGGCAGCCGCGGCGAAATCGAGGTCATCTGAGCAACCCACGCCTGAGCCATCTCCGAACAGGAAGCCGAAGACTTCTGTCGCGGTGGCCAAGATGGGTCTGGAGTCCGCTATCATCAGCCTGCGCGCCACCATCGAAAGCAAGGTCGAGAACCTCAAGACGAAGTTCTACCAGGAGGCGAGCGAAGAACTTCGAGGCATCCTGGACACGGAGGGGAAGCAGGATCTGAAGGATATGACAGACGCCTTCGAGGTCAAGTTCGGGTCGTACTCGGCGAAGGCCGAGGACAGGAAGACGGATATCAGGAACTTGCTTGCGAATCTGGACGTCAGCATCGGCGCGGAGGCCATCATGAGCAAGAAATGTGAGATCATCGTTTCTGCCAAAATGTTCTGCAAGTCACAGGGCGCTGAGATCAAGACCCTGGTGACTGAGCTCACTACCATGAGCACAGACATGAAGGCTTACGGCAAGAGTGCCCGGAAGGCGACAGAGAACAGGAACAAGGAGGCGACCAAGCACCTGCACAGCAAGAATGCCTTGGTTGATAGCCCTGGGAAGTTCGCATCGCCCCTCACGTCCACGTTCTGGGCCCACCACCAGTGCGAAGCGAATCAGGCGGCATCGGGCATCGGCATCCACTGGGACATTGGGCAGGATTTCATGAAGAACGGCAGCGCAGTCTTGATCCCGTCCGAGAGGACGACGGAATGCGTCAAGACGATCGTGGAGCTGGCGTGCTACAGGTCTCAGAAGGCTTGGGTCAAGGCGGCGATGGCCAAGACTACTCATCACACGAGCGCCGCGTACATCGTCAAGGATTCCGCCAAGAAGACCGTGGAGTCGAGCATCGCATCCATCGTCGATGCCTCGGTGCGCCCCGGGCAGACGCGTGATGGCTGCCCATGGTTGAACGACCTCGCGGCGGTGAAATTCTGGCACCACACGAAGGACTTGCACTCGATCTCCAATACTCCGCATTGCATGCCGCAGGTTCGCTTCGCCTTGGAGGGCGAGGCGGCGCTGGCTGGACTTCCCGTCGGCGCCGTGGTTGCGGACGCGCTGGTGGCGAAGCGGACCTCCCTGATGAACATGAGCTTGACCGACATCTTCAACTTGGTCCAGACGAAAGGCGGCACCGCGGTGAAGCTCAAGCCCGGGTCGATCGTCCTGCCCCCAGGGAATTTCATGATCGTGGAGGTCGCTCTTGGCGGCGCCGAGGTTCTAGGCCTCCTAGATGGGGTCGGAGTAGATGGGGTCGAAGGATCGCGCCACGTCGCCGATGCATCGCCGACGCGGCTCGATGTGGGGCCCAATTTTCTCCACGCCGACGTCGCCGATGCATCGCCGACGTCGGCAGTGCATCGCCGATGCATCGGCGATGCATCGGCGATGCGTCACCGATGCATCGGCGATGCGGCGCGATCCTCCGACCCCATCTACTCCGACCCCATCTAGGAGGCCTCTAGAGGTGCACGGCCTGTGCTGGTCGCTGCTCGGCTCAAGGAGCCTGGCTTCCGTGTGCCTGCCGATCTTGGAGCAGCTTCTGAAGGGGGCCGTCAGCATGAAGAAGTCGCCGCACGTGGAGTTGCAGAATCACCTGCAGGAGATCACGGAGGCTGCGCCAGAGGATTGATAAACCGCTGAGACTCGGTCAGAGTATCTTCGCAGGATTCGTTGAGGTAGAATGGCTTTTCGAAGGGTGCGACATTGTCTTTGCACTTTCGAATGTCGCGATTGCCTTCTGCTCTCTTTTGGCGTTGGCACGCCCGCGCTGGGGGCATTTGGACCCGCTCCGAGGAGGAGGGGAAGGAGGAAGACGAACGGTGAGGAGGGAGACGAAGAGTAGGCAGAGGAGGAGGAGGACAAGAAGGCCGATGATGAATGAGCCTACCCCTGGCGAGGTCGTGCCAGCATAACCCTTCGGCTTACAGTAAGACTGTCGGCGGGACGTAGAGTTTCGCAAAACGAAGTGGCTCGAGTGCGAGCCAGCAGCTCAACTCACCACGGCTTGGAAAACACAAAATGACCGATCACATTTGGGACCCTTTGGGCCGCAACAGTGTGGAACACCACGGCACGTGATTGAGTGAACAATCGCATGCGCGATCGGACGAACATAACGCATGTGCCTGCACCATTGCTTAGCATGAAGCATACAAGCGGCACGAGCATAGAAATGCATAACATCATTCCTCGTGCTCTTATCCGTGATCTGATTTTGAGGCGGAAGAAGACATCCATGGAAACAACAACCCGAAAGGTGTTGAGAGGGGCCCCGGGGGACGAAGCCGAAGTCGACAGGATCGAGAGAGGAGGCAAGAGGATCTTCAACAACAAGAGGGGAGGGAGGAGGAACAGATGAGGATTTTTTGCCTCGGCGATGCTACACCAGGACTTGTTCGTGTCGGCTCAAGTCCTAGACGACCTCCTGGTCTGGACGTAAAGCATATGCGCGATAGGTCGCGCTCACAAAGTACTTCCATGGTAGCGGAGATACCATTCGAGTGCCTCAGTCGGCCGCTATATGCGTCTGTCTGGTTTTCATGGTAGCGGAGATGGCCTTGAACACAAGCCAGAAACCGAAGTTGGTAAAACAGGAAATCCAGCCCTCTTGGGCATCAGAAAAAATTGGTTTGTCTCCTGAAAAAGGCTCTATGGTCGGGGGCGTGCCTATCAATTGAAGTCATGCGCGAATCTGCCGGGGGCCGCGCAGGCAGTGGACATCGTGCGCGCACTCCTGCCCGCCATTGAGAACGGCGCAACCGTGCGTGTCGTGGTAGGCTACCAGCTGCAGCGCGCAGTCCTGGAGAACGGTTGGCCCCAGTCAGGGAGAAGCACCAGTGGCACCCTCGGACAAGCCAAGGCCAAGGGCAAAGGGAATGGCAAGGATGGGCCAGCCCAGGCAGGCGGACCCCCCTCACCCCCCCCGCATACGCCACTGACACCAAGGACCACGCAAGCGTGTTCGTACAGTACAGCTCTCCTCTCACCGGCATCGATATGTGCTCCCCTGGGTTACGGCAACTTGCTGAGGAGCACCTTGCAAGCGGCAAGCTCACCATCTCCACTATCGACTCCAGTCAAGGCGGCGAGGCTGATCTAGTCATATACCTGACCACTCGGTCCAACAAGTGGCTTCATTAGGGGTTCACGGACGACCCCAACAGGGTGAATGTTGCGATCGCCCGCGCCACCACCAACGTGGTCATCATCGGGGACGGAAGGATGTTCGGCACAGCCACGGGCGCCCGCCTGCGGGAGCTGTCAGAGTACGGAAGATTTGCCAGCCATGTGCCCGCTTCAAAGGTGACGACATGGGCTCAAGGTGGCAGCTCGAGACCGATGAAGAGTTTGACCCCATCAGGGACCTCACGACTTGGATCCCCGCGGCCCCCTCCCACACCGGGGACGACACCATAAAAAGGGCTCGACGACGCCATCACGAAGGCCAAGGCCTCCATGGAGAACAACTTCGCCGTGCGCATTGCCGCCCCGCTCGGCCCCCTGTTCCCCTGGGACAAACTCGGCGAGGCCATCGCGGGCAGCTTGCAGAGGCTGGTCGAGGACCCGGCAATGGGAGTCATCCCTTACACCGTGGCCGGGCTCCACCCCCACCAATAGTCCATGGGCGCCACCCCGAGGCAGCCTGGCAGCCTCGATCGGAAGGCCTGGAGCCACCTCGGGTACTGCGCGGACGTGGAACTTGGGAACGACGCCAGCAATCTTGTCTACAACCTGACGTGGGCGGCCCTGGTCTGGTTCCTGTGGCGGGGCACACCCTGGGCCAAGTCACAATACATGGTCCCGCTGGACTCACCCCCCCCCTTTTGCCCCACGCCAAGGGTAATGACCGCCGCCCCAAGCCCTCCAGCAGGTGCACCCCCGTTGGCATGCTCCCCCAGCTCCCCGCGGCCTGGAGTCCAGACACGGGCAATTGCAAGCGACGTAGGGAATATCCTGGGATGGAACACCTGCACTCACTGCTCCGCCCAGGACAGGTCGACTCGACGCTCAGACACGCCCTCTGCAGCAGCGACGGGCTCCCGCTTAACACCCCCACGCTCAGGGCCCTCCTGGTGGTGATGATGCTGCAGCTACGGGGGCCGCGCAACACTCTGGCCATTCCCGCATCCAGAGGCCACGGGGGGCATTAGAGGCCGCCATGGGCCTCTGCCTCCCCCGGTTGGAAGCCCACCAGGAGTTCCGTAACCAGTTCGCCGCCACTTGGGGCTTCGACCTGGCTAATTTCGCCCCCCTCCACGCCAAAATGGAAGAGGCCATTCGTCGCATCAGCACGCTGCTCGCTGCGTCCGCCCACGCCTGCCCTAGGACATGGTCAGAAATGCTGGAGCATGTCTTCGCCCTCGAAGCCCCCATGCGCGCGCTGGAAGTGATAGTCCAGCCCGCGGACGTCAATCAACTGAGCCTGGGAGGCTGCTCCATATGCTAGTTGCACAAGGAGCTTGCTGGCGCAGACGAGGGACTCGGCTGTCCACACACCATGGCAGACGTGGAGCACATCGGAGGTGGACTCGCAATGTCCAACCGCTGCTTGGACGAGGGCCTCCCCGCCTCTCCAGCGCCTGGCGCAGTGCCCCCCCCCCCCCCCCTACGTACGCGACGACAGATTCTGCAAGTTGCAACGAGGCGCCAGCTATAATTGCGACGATTGCCCCAACGCGGGGATGCAACACGCGTGAGTTGGTAGCGCAGAACCGGGCGCAGGCATGCATGCGGGGAGAACTGCAGGTGGCTCTGCGAGCTGTGCTGGGTCAGTTCCCTGGAAAAGAAAGGGGTCGAGGTGCCCGCCCCCGATCGCACGGACGGCGGTGCCAAGAAGACCCTACAGCAGCGCCTGCAGGAGTACAAGCGCAGACTGGAAGAGGCCCGCTCTCGCAAGAAAGCTCGGACCCTGCCACCCCTGACCAGCCTGCCGATTGGGCGCGGGCGACCTAACAACGCACCAACTCCTACCTTGCAGGACCTCGTCATGCGCGCACCGCTTGCTTTCCAGCCATCAAGCGTCGGCGCCGCCCCCCCACCTCACCCACGGGCTTTCTGATGGCAGGTTCGGTGCAGACACGCACCGCGCGAAAGTATACACGGCCATGTGCGACACATGCCCCCCCGGGTCTCCGCTGCTTGCGTGGGAATCCGGCCGCCCAGCCTTCGGATGCTTCATGTGGCGCCCCGAGCCAGAGGCAATGGGCCACGAGCAGACGGGCCTGCCACCGTGGGAGATAATGCCTACCCTCTGGATCAAGCAGCAGTGGAATGCGGAATGGGCCTGCAGAAGGTGCCTCATACACATTTGGAATGTCGCGCCAGGCGTCCTCGACCACATTCTCGACCACTACTCATCCGAAGTATGCCCCGCTGCCCCCACCAAGCGGCAGATCATATCGGAAGTGCCAGGAGGCAGCCGCAGCTACGACATGTCCGCGCACCTCTCCCCCGGTAGCAGCGCGCCGGTGAATGACGCGTTCGCACGAACCACACCCCACGAGGACCGCTCGCCAGCACACGACAAGGAGATCCGCAAGCAAGATGGTCAAGCAGGAGTAGACGACAGGACCTCCTGCAGCTACTCCTTCCCCGAATTGCCGCCATCCCCGTGCCCCTACTTGCCCACGCTCTCCGCGCTCTGTCTGGAAGGGGCTGAGTCAAAAGGCCCAGTCCACGCCCTGGTTAAATACATGGCCGAGTGGAGCCACACAATCTACACCCTCTGGGCCGCCCATGCGCAGCGACAGGGAGAGGGCATTAAAGGTGACATAACCGACGAAACCAGGTGGCCGACCGAATTGCTGCCCCCCTTCCTAAAGACGGTGCACGGAGAAGAGATCCCCGTGCATTCCATGGGGCGGACAACGGGCAGCGGCAGCCAGGGTCGTCTCACACTTGGTGGATGGTAACCAGAAGTACCAAGAGGACTGGGATCGATGCGCAGACAACCTCGCCAACCAGAAAGGGCAGGGCCCTTACCGACAGCCGCTGCACGTCCTCACGGCGTTCCTCACCAGGCTGGAGGGCTCCGACTTGACCAGGGGGACCATCGATCACCTCGCTGCCCTGCCCCTGAAGACGGCTGCTAGAAGCTCAGACCGTGGTGAATCACCAGCTGCCAGCTGGCTCAACAGGCCCAGCAGGAAGGAATCCCCCGCAGCTGATCGCCGAGTGAAGGACCACGGAGCACCCCCGACCCGCGCTGACGTGCCACCCCATCAGCCCGCCGAACCTGACCAGTCCCCTGCAGCCCAGGAAGAGGAGCAATCCTCACCAGAGCACTGGAATGGCGAAGGCGATGTGGAAGGGGTCGACTGGGGCGATGAGGCGGGCAGGAAATCCGAGACGGACGCCCTGGCGCGATCCAGCCCGCAGGACATCTCCATAGACTCTGGCTCGCAGGTCAGCCCCACCCATCCCGAGGACGACGTTAGTGACACAGCCCCTCCTGCGGACGACAAGGTTGCCGAGGACCCCCCGCAGCTCTGGACAAAGCCTCCTGGCAGGACCGGTTCAGAGGCCTGGCCCCCATACGAGCAGGCAGCCGCCAGAGGAACACTCAGAGAAGGGCGCGCCCCAGGCGGCCCCCGCACCAGGGAAGATCGGACCCGGGGTCTGTGCGCTGGAAGGGACGACAGGACTCTTAGGTACGCGGAGGGCGAAGGTGGCCGCCGCGCACCTGCGGTCAATGAAGCCAGGGCCAGAGAACGCTCGGCCACCCCGCCGCCGCGCGACTCCTCCCGAGCAAGGCGCACCACCCAGGACTCATGGAACGACACGCGGAGTGCGCCAATCCCCGCAGCACGCCCTGACGACCCCATGGGAGGCCCCCCCATGTACATGAGTTCTATCGACGGAGCGGACGTCGCAAGGGACGAACCAGCACCTGAAAATATTTCACGGCTGCAGAAGACGCTGGGAGGTGCGTTTAACGGAGTCCTGGAGCGGAGCCAATATATCAAGTCTAATTCCAGGCTAGATTCCGCACAACAGTGCAACGAGTTCCTCCAGGCTTGGAGCAAAGCGGGATTCGACGCCTACAAGATGGACAAAGAATACCAGCTTCACGTCGACTGGCCGAGTGTCATGGAGAAGCATCGCAAACTCATGCAACGCGACACCAGGCTGCGCGCCGGCGGGTCCGTCAGCAGCGGACGCCCACCCCCATGGCCCGCTGCAGCCAAGGACGCTGAAAGGGCAGCCCCGCCAGACCAGTGGACAGCGGCATCCAGCTCAGGCTCGTCGCGGCGCGCATGGCAGTCCTGGGACGCGCGGGGACACCAAGGGGACACATGGACCGACACGGACTGGAAGGCGAAGGGCAAGCGCTACTCCCCCAGAGGAAAACCCCAATGCGCTGACAAGCGCCCGCGGGGGTGGGACTCCCGACCCAGGCGACGGGGGCGCACCGTGGACCCACACTGGTCTGGGCCACTCCCCCCAGGCGTGAGGAGTGCCGCAACTCTCGCCGACGTGGCCACCAACTCACGTGCTGCCTGCAGCGGTAGCATAGACTACTCCCCTCCCTGCCCGGCACGCGCCGCAACCCACCTCCCCACTAAGTTTCCCCCGCTGCGCCTGGCATCTGCCGCAATGCCCAGTGCTGCCTCCTTTGGGGGCGGAGGAGCACCAATACCCATGCGCTGCGCATTTAGACAGCCCACGCTGGCCTCGTGGACCTTGCAGTACCCATCACGTGCCACCCTCGCGGGGGCGAGGGGCATCTGCGCGCGTTAGACAGCCCGCGCTGGAGACGTGGACCTCGCCAGGCCCTCCACCCTTGCTGCCGTCGCTGCATGGGGGTGTTGCCACAGCCTCCACCACGGAGGCGGCCGCCAGCATAGATTCTTGGGCCGTTCGCGCCTGTCCAGGACTGCCCACTTGGGGCGACAGTGACGGGCGGCTGAAACTACCCACTCCCTGCGTTCCACCCTTTTCTGGCACGGTGTGCGGCGGTGATCGGGGTCGCCAGCTGCCGCGCTGCCTACGCTTTGCCCCAGACGCCCCATGGGCCAAGGGGCCTTCGGTGCCGCCCCTCCGGGGCAACCCACTTTGACGACAGGGGCTGGTGGCTGAAATAACCCACCCCCAGCGCCCCACTTCATTCAATAGCTTATTGTACGACAGCAGGTGGGGGTCGAAGCACCGCGCCACCCGCGATCTCTCACAGGCCCACGTGGTGTGGAACTTCCTCGCGTGGACGTTCGGGATCGCTTGCAGTGTTCAGCGGCCTCTGGATGCGCCCCCTCTTCCTCGCCATTCACTATGTCTCTGCTGCTTTTGGCTGCGCCCCCCAACGGACTCATTCGCGGGGCTCTGCGGCTCTTGGCTGCGCCCCCCATTCTGTTCGCCAAGATTGCACCTATCTCCGCGTCTCAGGCGACTGGGCTCACCCCCTGCGCCTTGGGCTGTGCTGGGTCCTCTCCTCCTCCTCCTCCTCCTCCTCCTCCTCCTCCTCCTCCCGCCCTTCATTCGCAAGTATCTGCGGCTTTTGGCTGCGCCCCCCCTCGAAGTGCGCGATGGTCGAGGAAGTGCTTCCGCTCTGGTTCGGGCCATGCGCGGATGCCCAGGGCGCAGCGCCCGTGCCCAGCGGCGCCAGGATGCACCCCCATGTTCATTTACAAGCCCCTTCGGCTTTTGGCTGCGCCCCCTGCGCTGCGAAAGGACATCGCGACCTGGGAGCTGACAGCGTCGACCACCCCAGCGGGTCAGCGCACTGACCTGCGGACGAGCTTCCGGCGACGTGCCAGCGGACAGGTGGTTGCTCATCTCGGCGCAGCCACGCGCCCTGCCCTCGCCACGACACCACAGTGGTGAGCCCCCAGACCTCGTGGGCCATATACTGGCTATCGGCTGGCTGTCAGCCTGCACACGCTGTCGCGATGCGGCTGCGGAGTGGGATCAGCCCTTCCCTGTGGACACCGCCTCAGCGGCAGGCAGTGCCACCCCCGCCAGCGTATTGCCTTGATCTACGTGGAACGGTTCATGGCGCTATCACAAGGACGTCGCTTTGGCTTCGTGTAAGGTGGGTATTGGCGTGTTCCCTAACCTCGCTTCCGGTGCTACCTGATGACGGGCCTCGCAAGGGAGTGGGCCTGCACGAGTGGTTCATCCTTCGGCAGGACGTGGCCGCTCCCCCGGCTGACCCGCCTCGCACCTGCCTCTGTCAGCGCTTGCACGTCGCGCCCCCGATCTGAGAGAGTCGGATGCGTTGTGTGCGCGTTGGCTACATGCTGGAAGTGGCGTTACCTCGTGTTCGCTGACTGGGTCGCCCTCCCTCCTGTGTCCAAGGGCGGGCATGCCCGACTTCTGCGACAGTGAGTCATGGTGAGTGAGGCTCCTCTATGTGCCGCTTTCCCTTCTCTTTCTGACGCTGGGTGACCGTCTGGCGTCCGCAGCCGCTCTCATGCCTTCCTCTTTGCCTCGCTTCCGCGTGTCTTTCGGCCGGAGTTTGGCGCCGACAGGGCGACTTCCCCGCGCTACTACAGTACGCATGGCTAGCCGTTCAGCTGTTGCTGCCGCTCGCTGCGTTGCGTTGCCCACACACCGGTGCGACTTCTCCACGCTGGACGCAGTTACCGCTGCACGTCGCGGCGGCGTCTCCACCCGTCGTGGCGTCGACGTCGGTTTGCTGTGCTCAATTCGGGCCATTTTGTCTTGCACGTGCACTCGCCTTTGCGGCCTACGTGCTGCTTTGGCCAATTATCTACGGCCTGTGCCCCAGTCGTTTATCCCGTTTCTTGACGCTAGTCCTGGAGCCGCCAACCAAAAAAAGTAACCCCACCAGACACCTGCTCTGGTCCGGTACGCCGTCACGGCAACACTTCCAGTCTACTCTATCTTTCTCTCCTCGCTCGCGATGCTCACCACGCCAGCGGGTTCCCCCCCCGCTCTGCGGCCTTGCCTTGCCGGCGGCTGGCGGGTCCAGGCGGGTGGCCAGGCGGGCAGGCGGCTTGGAGGATCCCCCATCCACGGATCGCCCTATACATTCGCAGCGGGCATTGGTGAGCCTCATCGCAGCAGGTCTCGACCCTGCGGCACTCGGAAGGTCGATGGTGTCCATCGAAGTGAGAGTTACTGAGACGGGTTGCCTTGCCTGAGTGTTACTGTGACGAGTTGCCTTGCCTGAGTGTTGCCTTAGGCCGCGTCTCTAGGTTTCACCCGCCCAGGGACGCCTGCTTTGCCCCGCAGCGACAGCCACTCTTTTCGGTGCCCAGGGGGCGGCCGTAGACGCACCCCCCCAGCGCACCTTGCTTCGCTGTTTACTTGACAGCCGCCCGCTGCTGGTAGCAGGGGTCAGTCGCTTGAAATAGTCGCCCCCCTGCACGCCGCTCAGCCGGTATTTTGAGTTTGCAACTCCAGCTTGGTTGCGCAAGGCTGCTGCACATTGCCTTCCACGTGGCGCGTCCGACGCTGGCGCACTCCAGCTCGGGCTGCATCGGCGCAGTTCTGCCGCCCCCCCATCTGTCTCCGTGACTACTGCGGCGGTTAGTTGCACCCCCCCACACGCGCATGCGCTCTCGGCGTGCAGCTGCCATCAAGTTACGCATCTCTTGCGGCGGTTAGCCGCGCCCCCCATCTCCACGTCGAGGCGCACTCTGTGGGCCGCATGGGCCTTCTCGCAGCAGGTCGACCCTGTGGCACTCGGGAGGTCGATGGCGCCCACCGAAGTGAGGGTGACTGTGACGGGTTGCCTTGCCGGAGTGTTGCCCCTGCATGCGTTTTTCCTGGCGCACTTCCCGGGCCTTTTCCGCCGGTGCCGACTCGTTCGTCGGTCGCCGCCGGCCCCGACAACTCTGCGGCGGAGTTCGTCGGCTGCGCGCTGAATGGTTCAGCCTTCAGCGCCGACGGCCCTTGTTTTCCACCGCCAGCAGCCGGCCTCTCGGGCTGGTGCCCAGTTGTCTGCCTGGGAAGCTGCTCGGAGCTTGGCGCCGCAAGGGCGACTCCCTCCATAGCACTCGCACTACTGGCCGCTTGTTCACTCTGGATTGGGCGGCGCCTAGGTGCGACTGCTTGCCAATGTGGAGCATTTTGCTCAGTGCACGTGCACCGCACGCTTTGTGTGCAATTGGCTTTGCACCGCCGTCCCGGACATGGCATGTTGTCGCGCGGCCGCCGACCCCCCAAAAAAAGTAATCCCGCCAGACACCTGCTCTGGTCCGGTACGCCGTCGCGGCAACACCTCCAGTGCACTCCATTTTTCTCTCTTCGTTGGCGATGCTCACCACGCCAGCGGGTTCCCCCCCCCCACTCAGTGGCCTTACCTGGCCGGGACGCACTGCGTGGCTCACAGTCGCTCGGTTACCCCCTTGCACTTTGACGTGGTCTGACTGGGACTGGGCATGGCGCAGAGTGGTTCAGCCTTCCGCAGCAGGTGCAGTCCTACAGGCCCACCTTCAGCCTCCCCAGTTGCGTTGACCACGGCTCACGACTGCTCAGCCTGTCTGGCTAGCTCAGGTCGTCCGTTTGGAGCCTGGCGCCACATTGGCGACTCACTCCAATGGCCCTCTTGTCATCACTCAGCACGACGGACTTGCCCATCGTGGTCCGCGTCCCCTCTGTGCAGGTTGTGCCATGGCAAGTTGAATTCCGTGACATTTTGTCTTGTGCGCGTGCCCGAGTTTGCAGAGCGCCGTTCAGTCCAGCTCCATTTCCCTCAGCCCGCAGCTGCTGTCTGACCGGGCCGGCTGGTTTGCGCCTGTCTTACTACTTAATTCGCCTAGTTCGCGTCCCGGACTTTGCTTTCGCCGCCTGACCGTCGTCTCGTGGCCGCGACCGAAAAAAAAGGAACCCTACCAGCCCATCCAAAAACGATGTCCAGAGGAATTGCCTCGATCATGGAGGTGGGCAGCACAGAGGAGGGGCCCCCCAGTGGAGGCCTCTTGGAGCATATCGAGTGCCTCGGGGAGTTTCTTGGGGCGTCGTGGGGGTCTCTTGAGAGCATATTGGAGGCCTCTTGGGCGCCTGTTGGGGCCTCCTGGGCGCCTCTTGGGGCCCTCTTGAAGCGCTCTCGGGATTAGCGTTGCCCCTCAGGAAACCACGCAATCGCCTCTAGGGGCGCTCTTGGAGCGCTCGTAGGCGCTCTCCGGGCCGTCTTGGGGCTTTCTGGAGCCTTTCTTGGAGCCCTCTTGGACCATCTTGGAGCCACCTTGAGGCCTCGGATGGCCATCGGAAGCGAAAAGGCGAGAACGCCAAACACATAGAATGTCCTCAGGTTTGGGCCTCTTCGGGGCCTCCTGGGGGAGCTCTTGGGCCATTGGGAACCGTCTTGGAGCGGTCTTGGGTCATCTTGGAGCATCGCGGGAGCTGGTATGAGACATTTTGGGATATCTTGAGCCATCTTGGGGGTCGTTCTGGGCTCCCCCAGGCGCTCTTAGAGTCATCTTAATCCGTTCCCCCCACGAGGCCAACATGCGGCCACAACCTTAGGAAAATCAGTGATTTGGCATTGTCGCCGAGACCCCTTGTCTTGGGTGTCCCTGGGGGGTCTCTTGGGCCCTCTTGGGGGGGGGAGCCTCTTGGGGGGGCATCCTGGGGGCCTCTTGGGGCTTCCTGACAACCTCTTGGGGCCCTCTTGGGGCACCCTTGGGAGCCTTGGGGGCCATCTTCCGGCCATCTTGGGTAAGATCGATCACAGGAGGGGGGCGCTAATTAGGGTCCCCCCCCAGGAGGCCAGAACGGGGCCAACACCATAGTAAAACCAAGTATCTTGGCGAAGGACCCAACCATATTCAGTTTTGAGTAACGCATTGTGGGTGCCGTTATCGGTGGGACACGACGCGCGTGAGGGGCGCGGCGCAATGGGTGTGGCGGACGCGTGCGGGCACCCCCACTGGGGCCTTCGGTGGAGCCCCTACGGGGCCACGAAAAGTTGTGCTGGGTGTGGCGGGCGCATGCGGGCACCCCCACTGGGGCCTTGGGTGGAGCTCCCTATGGGACCACGAAACGCTGTGCTGAGTGTGGCGGACGCATGCGGGCACCCCCACTGTGGCCGTCGGTGGAGCTCCCTATGGGGCCACGACCCGCTGCAGTGGGTGTGGCGGGCGCATGCGGGCACCCCCACTGGGGCCTTGGGTGGAGCTCCCCTTAAGGCCACGAAACGCCGTGCTTGGTGTGGCGGACGCATGCGGGCACCCCCACTGGGGCCGTCGGTGGAGCTCCCGATGGGGCCACGACGCGCTGTGCTGGGTGTTGCGGACGCATGCGGGCGCCCCTACTGGGGCCTTCGGTGGAGCTCCCTATGGGTCCACGAGTCGCTGTGCTGGGTGTGGCGGACGCATGCGGGCACCCCCACTGGGGCCTTCGGTGGAGCTCCATATGAGGCCACGAAGCGCTGTGCTGGGTGTGGCAGACGCATGCGGGCACCCCCACCGGGGCATTCGGTGGAGCTCCCGATGGGGCCACGGAGCGCTGTGCTGGGTGGACGCATGCGGGCACCCTCACTGGAGTCGTCTGTTGAGCTCCCTATGGGGCCACGAAGCGTGTGATGGGTTTACCGACAGTGGTGATGATGACGATCATGACGGCGATGGCCATGATGATGAGGATGGTGATGATGACGTCGATGATGATGATGATGGTGATGATGATGATGCTGATGATGATGATGGTGATGATGATGATGATGATGTTGATGATGATGATGATGATGATGATGATGATGATGATGATGATGATGATGATGATGATGATGATGATGATGATGATGATGATGATGATGATGATGATGATGATGGGGAGGATGGGGCGAGGAGGAGGAGTGAACGCGGGGCGCTGTCTCTTCAAAACGACGACCCAACACCGCAGGATGGTTGGGGATGATTCCGGCTTCCTCGCCGAGGCCTCTTTGGACGCCCCGACACTTCGCGAAGCCCCTTGTCCAGGTCCATGGCGGGGGGGGGGGGCCGAGGGAGGGGTCAAGAGTTTCCGTCCCCGCCCGCAAGCCGTCTCGTTCATTTCCACCTGCCCTCCCAACACATACGTGGCGCCCGAGCCTGGCCCGCGCCGCGGCATATGCAGCAGTCGCCTTTGAATGAACAGCGACTGGGGGCGCACCCGCTTCCGCCGCCGCCGCCACCGCCGCCGCCCGCCGCCGCCGCTGCCGCGCCGCCGCCGCCGCCGCCGCGGTCCGCCGCCGCCGCCGTCACCGCGCCGCCTGCCGCCGCCGCCGCCGCCGCCGCCCCCGCTGGCGAATCGCCGCCGCCGCAGCCGCTGCCGCCGCAGTGACTGCCGCCACCGCTGCCGCCGCCGCCGCCGTCGCCGCCGCCCCCGCCGCCGCCGCCGCCCCCGCCGCCGCCACCCCCGCAAAAGCTTCAGCCGCTGCCCCCGCCGCAGCCGCCGCAGCCGCCGACGCCGCCAAGTGTAGCATCGATGGTGGGAGGAGGCCGCATCGGGTTCACTGCGCATGTTCCGAATTTGGAGGCAGAGTGCAATTTGTCTTGTTCGTGTTACCAGGGATGGTGGGGACAGATTTTTCACACACGCACACACACATACACACATACATACATTTACATATATATACACATATGTATGTATGTATGTATGTATGTATGTATGTATGTATGTATGTATGTATGTATGTATGTATGTATGTATATATATATGTGCTATATGTATATATATGTATGTATGTATGTATGTATGTATGTATATATACCTATATATATATATATATATATATGTTGGGGGGAGCGCCCGCGCGGGCATGGGCTGGCCCCCAGTTGCCGGGGGGGGTATACTAACAGGGAACAGTGGTAAACCCCTCCCCGAAGGGGAAGAAGGAGGGGTGGAAGAGGAAACTCCCTAAACCGTCGACACCCAGAGGGCTGGTGGGATTTCTTCAGGTTTTGGCCTCTTCGGGGCCTCCTGGGGGGGCTCTTTGGCCACTGGGGGCCGCCATCGAGCGGTCTCGGGGCATCTTGGAGCATCGCGGGGGCCATTATGGGACATCTTGGGATTGGTTGAGCCATTTTGGAGGTCATCTTGGGCCCCCCCAGGCGCTCTTGGAGTCATCTTAATCAGCGCCCCCCACAGAGGCCAACCTGTGGCTAAATCCGTAGTAGAATCCAGGATGTGGCATTCTCGCCGAGGCCTCCTGGAGCATATAGGGTGCCTCTGGGGGGTCTCTTGGGGCTTCTTGGGGGTCTCTTGGGAGTCTCTTGGGGGGCATCCTGGGGGCCTCATGGGGTTTCCTGGCCACCTCTCGGGGCCCTCTTGGTGCACCCTTGGGAGCCTTGGGGGCCAGCTTCGGTTCGAAGAAAAGATTGACGACTGCGGCGGGCTCGTTGTATAATGTGTGAAACTTTGGCGCCTGCGGCGGGCTTCTCCAGAGTCTCGCAGACTGCCGACGTCCCCACCGCTTCCTCACTCTTATCCGCATCTGCGGGGTGCTACGTATGTTTAAATGTTGTACTAGGAAGGTATGTTTCTTCCGCTTTCTTTTTCCTTCTTCCTCATCCTTCTCTCCTCTGGTACTTGTCGGGAGTTCAAGTGTAAGTGGTCTGTCACGAAGCTTGGGCTCATTTATATGAGCTTGCGTGTCTGCCAGCTTCCCAAGGCCTCGGTTGCGCGCAACGGCGTGTGTATTGCAGGTTGGCTAGAGCGCTGCTCCTAGTGTTTGGGATTGCTCCTCCGCCTCTGTCGTCCACTTCTCCGCACTCGGTAATAATCGGCGCACCAGAGCTCGACACCAACACCAAGATCAGTCTGGCAAAGCACATCCCACGTATCAGTTGCATACGTTCGTCCGTGTCTTCGCGCTTGTCTGTTCGTTGTCGACAGGCACGTTGAGCAACGATGCAGGACGCCGCGGACCCTCCCCTTCTTCGTCCCTTCGAGTGAGCAGCATGAGGCCAATGAGCACGATGAGGGTTCGGGCCCTGCGACAGGGATGGTGGGGGGGGGGGCGCATGGTTCCGGGTTGGCTGCCAGCCAGGTGGGGGAGGTGGTTATCATGAATCGGGAAGAGTGATCAAGCTACCCACCCGCCCGCAAGCCGTCTAGCTCACTCCCACCCGCCCTCCCAACACATAAGTAAACCCCGAGCCTGCGTATTATCAGCGGTCGTCTTTGGATTGACAGCTACTAGGAACCAACGCCGACCCCAGGTGCGCGACGCTTGGGCGAGGTGCGCCACGCGTGCCAGGGGCGCCACGCGCGCCAGGCGCCCCTGGAGCCCGAGCGTGCCAGGCACGCCTGGTGCGCCAGATGCGCCACGTGCTCCGAGTGCGCTAGGTGTGCAGCACACTCCAGCCGCGCCTGGTGCGCCATGTTCGGGGCACGTGCAGAGTGCGCCAGGTGCGCGTGCGCATGTGACAGCGCACATCGGGAAACAAGTCGGCCCCCGCCATCCTTGTCGAAAATTCAATACCCATCATTATGTCTGGTGGGCCTGCGCTTAGCAGGCCACGCGCCACCACCCCCGCGGTCCCTGTCAACAACCCTTTGACAGTGATCGCGGGATGGCCGCGCATGATCCAGATTTAGCCGAAAGATGCATGTTGTAATGTTTTTTGTCAGGGATGGTAGCCCTGCGCACGGCAGGGAATATGCTGGCACTCCCGCCGCCCTGTCAAAAGCAATACAAAGTGTTCGCGGGCCTCACGAACATGACTCAAGACTTTGCCCCAAAGTGTATTGCGTTGTTTTTTGACAGGGATGGTGCGGGGGGGCGCATCGGGTTGGCCGCGCATGCTCCACATGTGGAGGCAGAGTGCGGTTTGTATTGTTTTCGACAGGGATGTTGGGGTGCGGGTCGTCATGGTCGCCCAGAGGGCTGGTGGGATTGAGATATTTGTTTTCCTCCCTTCATCTCTCCCTCTGCTCCATTCACAAGCTCTCCCTCCTATCAATCGTCCCTCACCTTCTTCTATCCCTTTTCCTCCTTCCCTCCTATGTTATGCACCTCGCTTCTCTGCGCTCCTCCACCCGTCTTCTCCTCATCACTCCTATGATGCATGTTCTCCCTCATCGCTCCTCTCCCTCCGCCCGTCATAGCAAGGATGAGCGACTTCCCAAGGTAGCTCTTGCAACCTCCCCCTTCGGCCCATCCTTGAACACTTTCGCTGGCCGCGCCCCGCTCCCAATATGTCGATGTGGCCTTCCAAGGCCCTTGCATCCTTATCGCGTGTTCTCATTCTACGGCTTGATGGTAACTGTTCCCGTCCTACCATCATCCTTCGTATCTTGTTCCTCCTTCCTCCTCTCTCCCGCACCCCCCCCTCCCTCCATCCCCCCTCCTTCCTCGTCGCCGTCGTGGTCACCCTCGTCCTCGTCGTCGTCCTGGCCGTCGTCGTCCCCCTTCTCCTCGTCCTCGCAGGCGTCGCCCTCCTCACCGCCCTCGTCGGCTTCGTCCTCGTCGTCGTCCCCGTCGCCGTCCTCCTCGTCAGCGGTGTCGTCGCCGCCGTCGGAGTCGTCGCTACCGCCGCCGCCGCTGCCGACTCCGCGGCGCCCTCGCGAGGCGCTCGCGATCGCCCAGCAGCAGGCCGACCTGGAGGCGGAGAACTACCGCAGGGCCCAGGGCGGCGAGCAGCAGCTGTCCAGGCGGGCCTGCGGAGGGAGCGGGAGCAGCAGGCGGAGGGACGCCCACACGTGGGCTCGCCTGGTGATCGTTTTTGATCCCCAAAGAAGAAAAACGCCATCAACATGAACTGTTGGCGCTCCGCGCGGATGTATTGGATCCGCGCTGGGCCCCCTTGGCGCCCTCCGCACGCCAGAGAGGGGGTCCAGCGCAGATCCAGGAAATCCGCGCGGAGCGCCAAAGTTTCTGTTCATTCAGTTTTTCTTGTTCTATGTCAATCGTTTTCTTATACACTGTTTCGCCGATCGGCGCGGTCCCTCGCACCCCCCCCCTTGGAGTAGATCTTTGCTGTTTTTGGCGCCTGTCCCAAGCAGGTGGAGTCCCCCCCCCAGGACGCACTGTTGCAAACAGTCGCCCTAAGCAGAGGTCCAAAGCCAGATCCCCCCCCTCCACCCCCTTCCGTTCAACATCGAAAACGTTCACGGTGGGCCCACTTGCTGGCTCAAGCCTCCTAGCCGCACTCTTGGCCGCGCGATTGTCTGCTGTCGCAGGTCGCGCTTGCCGTGTGCCGTGTGGGCACTTCCAGTCTGACGTAGGAGGCGGGAGGAGGGGCGGATCGAGGCTACAGGTCCAACGATCTAGAATGAAGGTTTTGGATGTTCTGGGCCCGTTTCATGCGTCCGGAGACTTTCTCAGAGCCCTGGAGGGAGGGGGAGGCTCCGACACCCTCGGGGCTTCGTGTGTCTCCTGGGGACCCCTCGTCCCTGCGGCCGGATGCCGTGGCAGCACCGCTCGGGAGGGGCGGTTGGTTTCGCCTAGGACGAGGTCGAGGGCTCCAGAGGCCAGCGAATAGAACGATGGAGTTGTCGGTGGTTTGGGGGCGAGGTGCGCGGCCGCCCACCGCCAGCGGGCGGGCACTCTGTGGGCCTGGGTGCGCGCCGCGCGCTCTTCCCCCCTTCCCCATTTCTCGTGCGTCGGACATGTCCTTTTACAGGAGGCATGCCCAAGAATAGTGAGACATAGTACAGGGTTGTTCTTTTTCTATCTAGAAACACTCTTTTGATGTTTGAACGATTGTTGCATCTTCCTTCCAGAACCTGCCTGTAGGAGGACAAGCCCGACCTAACCCTTTTCCCCCCCTCCCCGCGTCCTTCCCAGTCGTGCCGTCTCTTCTTCTGCCGTTTCTCCATTCTTGGCCACGGGGCTCCCCTTGCGCTCGTTGCAAACAGGTGTGTGTGGGGGGGGGGGTGGGGGGGGGGGGCAGGATGGGTGGGGGAGGGAGTAGCGGTTCGTTCTCCCTCTCAGGACGGGTGAGAGGCAATCATGTTCGTCGCTCTTTCGGGAGCCCTTGTCACGACACGTGCGAGCCGAACTCCTTGGGCACGGAATACCTCCTCCTTGATCCTGGAGCCTCGATTCTCTCGATCTTCGAAATTCCTCGGTCGTTCTCTTCGAGCCTCGTCCTGCTCCCCCTCCTCGATCCCCCTCCTCGATCGCAGAATCGCGCCCCTCCCTCTCAGGAAGAGGTGATGGGGAGAGGAGCGCGGGAGCCGCTCGCCCGCCCGCCCTCTCGCGCCTCACGGCGCGCCGGCGCAGGCTAGTAGAGCAGGTGCAGTCCTCCGTGATCGACGTCGAGCGCATGGGCAAACGCCTGGAGGTCCTCCGAGAGGGGAGGGGGGGCACGATTCTAGGCCTCGTTCACGGTTGAACGCTGCCGGAGGCCCAGAGTCGGCCGATGTGGGACGATCTAGGGATCAAAAAGCCGCCGAATGTTCTCAGGGCTGAAGGGTCCACGCGTTGTCAGAAATTAACCCTGGGGTCGTCAGGACACGACCTCCCGCGCGACAACTAGGCGAAATTTGGAAACGCTCGTACCTTTTCGTGCAAGCACTGCTTGGGGAAAAGACACTCGTCGCACCGTCACACGTGTTTGGCCTGAAACTTTCTCGGCATATCTGATAATGGAACTGAGAAATCACCACCCGCTCGAGTGGATGATGAATGGCTCTGAGCGTGTAGCTCCCCTGTGGGCGCCGCGTACATTCGCTGCGAAAACTTCCAGTAGGTTCCATAGAACTGTTGGTACTATCGCTCCCCCGTGTCAGTGGCTTCAGACAGTGTCCATTGGTATTGGTTGTCTTGCATTTTGCTGTTCGGTTGCCCACTGTGGTATGGATTCTGTTTTGTCGGACCACTGCCCGTGCACCTAAGTCTCTCGCTCTCTCTCCCTTCCTCTCTCGCTCTCTCTGCCAGGAGCGCTTGACTGATTGTCTCGCCAGTTCGTTGCATTCGCTCTTCTTCGTGCGACTCTTGTGTCCTGTCCGCCGATCGCTACCTCAGCTGTTCTTTCTACCCTCCCAACAATGCAGTTGCGTTGGCAAAGAAAGCAGTTTCCAACACTTCCACTGATTGAGGGCAGATCGTATTGAAACGTGGCGTACGGCTTGCCGCCGCGTGCAGTCGTTCTCCTTTTTGCGCCGTGCCCAGTCGGTCTCAAAATTCCCATCCTCTACGCAGGGGAATGTGATGCACGTTTGCATCAAAGCGTTGCCTTTGCCGCAGCGTCGCGCACAGTTGTCGTAGAAGCTTCCAGCACATATGTGGACGGACACGGGTTATTTTCAAGACGTGGGTTTCCGTTCGCGTCCTCCTCGTGTTTACGACAACAGGCTCTCAATCGTGCAGTGCAACAGTTTCGTGGATGTAGAGTCGATGTTTTATTCTTGGATTGTCGCTTGGGGATTATTTTGGTTGCGTGTCCCGAAATTGACAAAGTGCAAATGTGATGGTCTCTTCCTCTTCAACTGGGGCTCTTGCTGGACGTGTGTACCATCTTTCCTATTTGCATTTATCTAAAGGCGGTTTCTTCTCAAAGCATGGCTTTCGTTTGATTGGAATGCCCCATGGGAAGGTCGTCTTTCAAGGGGGAACTCCTCCCATAGTGACAACATAATGCTTGTGATGAGTCCTGGGGAGGAGACCTGGGACGGGACGGTGCTACTGTAGTACCGTCCGTGCAGTTTAGGTTTATTGTGCTCCTCCCTCATCCGCTTCCTCCTGCCCTCCATTTTATAAGTGCCTATCATCCCCCGCCGTTCCCCCTCGGCTGGTGTCCGAGGGTGCGCTCCAGAAACGACACTCGGAGTTGTCCTAGGGCGCATTCCGAGCACCCTGGAACCCCAGAGTTCCCATGTTCAGTTGTTGTTCAATACGTGGGCCCTGGAATTCCTGACCCCTTCCCAGGGCCGTCCTGCCACCCTGAGTCGTGTTTTCATCGTCCCGAGGCCGGGCACCGGCGTCCAGATGTAAAACATGGCGGCACAGGGGCCGCCCCGATATGTTCGATGCGCCAAGGCGGGAAACAACACAGACACAATTAATAGTCGTTCCCCGTGAAAATATTGAAAAAACATGAGAATTGGGGGGAAGACGAATTCCTTGAAAATATTGAAAAATGTAGGGGATCCTGGGATTTGTGTCTACGTATTTATTTGTGTGTCCCTGGGCCCCTTCATGTGTTCGATACGCCAGATGCCTCTGGTTCGATCCCCCTCTCTCCGTGCCCCCCCCCCCCTCCCCCCTTCTGTACCATTCCCTCCCGCGGCGGAAGGCGGATAAGGGCCTGGAGCGGGGTGCGCGCGAGCGGCAGCTCGAGGAGAGGGAGAAGAGGACGCGCGAGCTGGAGATGAGGCCCGATGTGTCTGGCCCTCCCAGATGGGGTCCGAGTAGATGGGGTCAGAGGATCGCGCCGCATCGCCAGTGAATCAACGATGCGGCTCGATGTGGAGCCCGTGTTTCTCCACGCCGACGCCGCGGATGTATCGCCGGCGTCCCCAGTGCATGGCCAATGCATCGCCGATGCATCGGCCATGCATCGCCGTTGTGTTAGCGATGCGTCGCGATCCTTCGACCCCATCTAGGAGGCCTCTAGTGATACACCAGAGGGTTGCGGCGGCTGACGCCGACGACGACGTTGACACCGTCGACGACGACGATGACACGTTGATGTCGCAGCGATGATGATGACGGCGACGGTGAAGTCTTCGGATGCTCCACGCCAGGTACATGACCACCTTGTTGGTTGTCGTGGTGTTCGGCTGGCTCATGTTTGAATGCTTGGCGCTAGCAGCTGTGCCGACAGGGTGGAGGATGGGGCGCTTGATCTGGATTTTAAGCGGCAGCGGCGGCGGCTGACGACGTCGACAGCTCAACAAGAGCAAGAGGGTTCCTTGATCAAGCTTCGGGGTTCGATGGTGTGACGTCTTGAGGCTCGGACGTTCTTCTGTCGTTCTGTTCTGGGCGTCTGGGAGGCCTCTCGTCGCAACGGCCGGATTGTTTTTTGTTTGAAATGCAGAACGCATCCCAGGACAATTCAATTTTGGAGGGTGAGTTTCGGACCCCGGGAAAGAAGGCAAGGGGTCCTGGACGAGAATGGGTCCTGGAGATGTTTTTGCTGTTGTCGGGCTCCCAGGGCCCTTCAGGGCCCTGGGACCGTCAATCAAACAGTTCGCGGGATAAAAAGCTCCCCTCCCCTCTTCCCCAGCCTCCGCATCATTCTCGATCTTCTTCCTTCCCTCCTCATCCTCGTATGCCGCCATGCCTCCTCCTTTCTCGTCCATCCTCTTCAAAATCTGCTCCCCCTCCTCCACGCCTCCCCCATCCTCGTGTCCTCGCTCCCCCCCCCCCCCTCTACCCCCCGCGCCCTCCGCGGGAGGCTGTCGTCGGAGACCAGGGAGGTGGAGGAGCAGCGGCGAAGGGTGTCCGAGCTCGTGAGGCGCCGCGCGCGCCGCCGCCGCCGCCCGACCCGGCGGCCCCCGCACGGCGGGCGCTGCTGGTCGCCGTGAAACAGACAGGTCCTAAGGGGGGGGGCCAGGTCCTGGAGGTTTTGGGCAGCTTCCGGTCGCGCGGGGCCGTTCCCGGGCCCCCCTGGGCCATCAAACGAATAATTTGGGTTGCAAAATTGGTCCGGGGGAGAATGCCCCGGCATCAAGGAAACGTTTCTCTCAGAACCCGTTTTCTCATGCCAAGTTGGAGCCCCGCGCCCGACGAGAGTTTCCACGGGGGAGTTGCAGGACATGCGGAAAAAGTAGAGGTCTGGAGGGAGGAGGGAGGCGTATACACCAGCATGCCAGACCAGATGTTGTTGCTTCTGGACGGAAGCCGTGTTTAGTCATGGAGTGTCTCGAGGCGTGGGTAAGCAGTTTCCAATTCCATGCAGCGTGACGTTGAAGAGGCCAAGACGAAGATGTTGAAACACTTTTATGCTAATTTAGAATGCTCGCGGGGCTCACTTGTCGGTGGCATCCAAATTCCAGTTGATGGATCGGGCAGTCGTTGGAGAATTCGGGCAATTACAGAGCTCCACCTTCGCCGTGGTCTACGTCCAGGGCTTTGGCCAAGACTCAATCCGCCATGCTGTCGCGGGTGCTGCAAAGGAAGTTGGTATTATGTCCGCCCAAGGCCTATTTTTGGCAGCGTGTGCACACACTTGGAGCAAAGTCTGGGCTGGGCGATATTTCGTCCGGGAGGCACACGTCGAGCGCGACCCAGGGCTTTGACCAGCCCGTGCGTTGTAATTCCACGGGTCGTCTTGGCTGCGGCAGCGCCGGTTCCCACGCAGGCTGCCTTCGGACCAGGAGCAGGGTCGGAGGCGTGGCTCTGCGATGGGAGGAGCCCCCCCCCCCCTCTTCGCCGTTGCCTCTGCCCCGCCCCTCTTTTCCTTTGAATTGCAGAGGCGACAGCTTTGCTGCCGTTCGGTCAGGTCAGGAGCAGTTCGCGCGTTGTTCGATCACCTCCCAATTAACCAAATGTTCTTGAATTTCTGCCACGCCGCCCAATTGCATCCCGCGAACGTGATCACCCCACAACAGCTATTCCGAGGGGGCGATGGCTCAGGAGGCGTTGAATCCCCTCCATACCCCCTTGGACGCCTAGCAAGACTCCCGTCTTGCGTGGCCTTGGCGGGATCCGACTCCCCAAATGTTTGTATGGTATATTTGGGAAACGTTCGACTCGAGTTCGCCGGATCTCGGGTTTGCCGACGTTTTTTGACGGACCCGTCCTTAGCTTCGACGGTCCAGTTTTCATTGGATGTTTGCAGCGGGAGTTCGCGTGAAATTTCAGATTGGGTATCGTCATTTTCTTGACGGCCCCGTCGGGCCAACCCGGGTCCCCCGAACCCGACTCTTCCGTCTCCCTGAGCTTAGTTTTAGTTCAGGAATGAAAAGTTCCCATACAGACCGCACGGGCTGCAAATCACGCAGTTTGCGTGTTGGTTGTGATTCGAGGTAATATTCGGGTAACGGTGTCGTATCCTGGTACTGTTTCAACCACTTTGGGCCCGCCTTGGGGGCATCGAGTTGTCATTGACCTATCGGGGTCGCCCATTTTGGAAACGCACTGGGTTCGCGGAGCCGCCTTGGCATCGGTTTGGGTCTCCCTAAGGTCTTGCGCATTTTCAAGGGAGCCTTTTTCGCGGCCAAGTAATTGCGATAGCGCGCAGGAATTGCGATAGCGCGCCTTTGGAGGAGGGGGTGGGCGAAGGGGAAGACGGGACGGGCGGAAGAGGATTAGAGCTGGATTAGAGTTGGTCAAGTGGTTAGCCTCGCCCCATGGATGGGCTATTGGGGGCCCATTGGGCGCATCCGGCCGTCCCCGCGCCATCTCAGCAGACTTCTCACACGAGTTGATCCTTGCATTGTAATTGCTGGGTCCCGCCCGTCGACACTGGGCTCCAGCTTCGCCCCGCGCTTCTCACACGAGGCCTTCCACTGAGCTCCCGATGGATAGCAACCCTGTCTTGCACGGCTGCTCCTCGACCATTCCGCGCACGGTCGCCCTTGCAGTTCCATTTCTCGTATGCCTCGGCCTGTTGCCACGGCTTGCCATTCTCGCAGGAGCTGAAACCCGCAATGTAGTTGAGGATTCTCCCCTGCCTCCGCTTCTCACCAGAGTTGGCCCGTGCATTGTAATTGGTGTCCCTCTCCTACGGTCGCCTTTCTCACAGTGCCAGGTGCGTCCTCGGTGCGTATTCTTGCAAGAGCTGTTGATACCAACATTGTAGCTGATGCCATTGGGGTGCACTGATCCACTGCCCCGATTGCTGCTCTGCTAGCTGTAATGTCGCTCACTGCCGCCCCTCTCGCATAGGCTACGCCCAGAGCTGTAGCTGAGTTCTCCCCCAAGAGCACTGCGGACCTGCTCGCCATTTCGCACCACGACCTCATCTCCGCATTGGGATTGATGGTGTCTGCTTCTGCGCACTCCTTTTCCCACCTTCACCCTAGTCCCCGGCATTCGGCCGGGGTCGTAGGGCGGGCCTGGTTCGGCTTCACGCCCAACCACCTCTCGCCCTTCTCGCAATGGCGGTGTACCCACACGCCCTGACCCCAGCGATGTAGCTGATGACATCGGTCTTGCGCGTCGCCTCCAGCCTCGCGGATTTGCGAATGAGGTTGCTGCCGCTGCCTTGCATTCTCGCACGCATGAACTAGCCCAGGCCCTGTAGCTGATGACATTGGCCCGCGCGGGCTCCTTGTCGCATGCCCTCTTCCCAACGTTGTAACTGATAAGGCGTTCGCTGCTGCCCTTCTCTCACGAGTTGTTCCCAACGTTGTAGCTGATGTGTCGCCCGCCCCACGACATTGGACTCCAGTTTTGCCTCCCGCTTCTCGCAGAATGACGCCTGAGCCTCCCGCCGCCCTTCGCCCTCGCACGCCCCGATCCCGGCGTCGTTGCTGATGGCGTCGTGCTTGTGCTTCGCTTGTAACCTCGCGGATGTTCGACTGAGGTTGTTGCCACTATTCTGCCTTCCCGCACGCGCGAACTGGCCCCGGCCCTGTAGCTGATCAGGTTGGCCCGCGCGGGCTCTCATGCGGCTCGTCTGGGGGGGTCCCGCCTGCCCCAGCCGCTCTCTGCCTGCATTCTTGCAGCCGCGCCCTTGCGGCTGGCGCTGCTGGTCGCCAGGGCGACGAGGAGGAGGAGGGGAGGGAGCGACAGGAGGAGGGGCGGGAGGAGGGCGCGGGTCCTGGGATTGCGTGTGTGCTCGGTTTCAGCATGGTAGCCGATGACGTTGGGCTCCGCGTTTCTTCATGACGGCTTCTGAGCGCGTTGCCACCTCGAAATTCGCGCTGCAGAGCCCCTTGGGCGCGAAATGGCTGGGAGGAGGAGGAGGAGGAGGAGGAGGAGGAGGAGGGGGAGGGAGAGGGGGAGGAGGAGGAGGAAGAGGAGACCAGAGTATACCCAGCATGCGATAGCATCGCTCCCCCATCCGAAGCCCGCTCCTCGCAAGCCCTCACAACTCAGACGGAGGGGTCGAGCGGTCTTACATTGTCCCTGGGCGCGTGGATGAAATCCCACCTGTGACCCTCTCACGTTGCCTTAATCGGCGCCTGCGGCGGGCTTGTTGCGTGCTTCTCGGCGGACGTGTTCACATTTGTTTTCGAGACTCGCAGACTGCCGACGCCCCCCGCCCGCCCGTCTGACTCTGATCCGAAACTGCGGGCTTTCAAATTCTCTTCTGCGGGAAGCGCTCCCACTTGAACGATGAGCGCCCTCTGGGCCTGCCACAGCCGAGGTCCTGTGTTGTGCAGGAATGATCCACATTCCACTAGAAGACTTAGCTAACATAAGTGCAATTGTATATACTTCGATATAGTTTAAGAGGATGTCAGATGTTCACCCCGTGTTGACCCCGCGTTTTGAAAAGGATGTGCCCTCAGTCCGAAGTTACCCTGCGCAGTTTTCAAGTTTCTGTCACACGCACTTTGCGCAACTCATAAGCGAGGCCACTATTTAGCAAAGGCGCGCTCTTCAATCCGTGCAGCGTAGCCGAAGAATGAATGTGGGTTTCGGGCCGCACGTAGTTTTCAAAGAGCTGCCAATCGAGATAAACAGGATTATAACGAGCAGGCGCCCATCCTCAGAATTGTTGAAAACGTGTTAAGCGAATGTGCGCGGCGCGGAGGCGAGAGCCGTATTTTGGTAACCACATGCCTCCATTGATGGATTTGTTTGAGTTTTTCACACCTAGTGTGCGCGGCACGGAGGCAGGCGAGAAACGCTTTTTGAACATGGCAGTCGTTCCGTGTCTTCATTGGAGTTAATCCCGCTTGAAAATGCACTAAGTCTCAAGCGAAACGCATGGCCCAGCTTGCGGGCACGGCAGGTGGTACGACATGGGGGAGAGTTTTGCATGAGAGGCGGGACAGGAATATGCCCCGCCTTTCCCTGCGTTGCGCCAGCATCCGTCCTCCTCATGTCCGACTCCGCCTCCGCATCTTTGCTCTGCCTCCCAGAGTTGGCTCGGACCTAATGTTGGGCATGCCGAGCCCGCTCCATCACCGAGGGAGCAGTATAGGGGCTTCGCTGAAAGCAGTATTGTGAACAGCGGTCTCGTCCTGCAGGTGGTCTTACTGTCCCTCGGTCCTCGTGGTGGTCGGGAGCGGCATGCATTTCAAGCGCTTGGCCTTGTCGTGGTGCTCTGATCCCATTTCCTGTCTCCTCCCTCCTTCTGGTCCCTCACTCTGCTTCCTCGCTCCTGCTTCCTCGAACCCCCCTCCCTCTTCCCGCTTCCTGCTCCCGCATCGTCCCCCCACCCGTCCTTCTCCACACGTGGGCCGGAGGCACGAACCTCCGATGCATCCCCGCATGTGGAGCGCGCGGCGTGGATCGCGCGAGCGCGCGCGGGGGTGCGGAGCAGGGAGGAGGAGGGGGAAGAAAAGGAGGAGGAGGAGGAGGGAAGGAGGAGGAGGAGGAGGAGGAGGAGGAGGAGGAGGAGGAACATGATGATGATGAGGAGGAGGAGGAGGAGGAGGAGGAGGAATGTTATTGGGGATGGGAAGAGGGGGATGAGGGGGAGGAGGAACGTGAAGCGAGGATGAGTGGCAGAAGGGAGGGAGGCGAAGAAGGAGGAGGAGGAGGAAGAGGAGGAGGAGGAGGAGGAGGAGGACGAGGAGGAGGAGGACGAGGACGAGGACGAGGACGAGGAGAGAGGATGGAGGACGGAGGACGGAGGACGGAGGACGGAGGACGGAGGACGGAGGGAAAGAGGAGGAGGAGGAGGAGGAGGAGGAGGAGGAGGAGGAGGGAGGAGGGAGGAGGAGGAAGGAGGGAGGAGGAGGAGGGAGGAGGGAGGAGGGATGGAGGGGAGAAGAAGGAGAGGGAGGGAGGAGGGAGGAGGGAGGAGGGGGAGGGAGGACGGAGGAGGGAGGAGGGAGGGAGGGAGGAGGGAGGAGGGGAGGAGGAGGAGGGAGGGAGGAGGAGGAAGGGAGGAGGAGGAGAGGAGGGAGGAGGGAGGAGGGAGGGGAGGAGGAGGAGGAGGAGGAGGAGGAGGAGGAGGAGGAGGAGGAGGAGGAGGGGAGGGGAGGAAGGGAGCGAGGGAGGAGGGAGGTACGGGGGGAAGGAGGGAGGGAGGGAGGGAGAGGATGGACGGCCCTCCCGCGCCCTGGGAACGGCCCTCACACGCCCCCAGCCGTGGTGGCCACCCACTCAAAGGTCAGTGGGTTGCCGTGGCTGCGAGCAAGCGGAGGAGGAGGGAGGGAGGAAGGGAGGGAGGGAGGGAAGGGAGGGGAGGGAGGGAGGGAGGGGGGAGCGGAGGAGGGAGGGAGGGAGTCAGCGAATTAACCTGCCTTTCGCTTAGTCCCCGCCGGACTGACCTCTTTCCGGCATCGCCGTCGGTCCCCCTGGGGCGCAGGGGGTGCCGGTCCCACTCGGGAGCCGGCGGCGCGAGACGGGAGGGAGGGAGGGAGGGAGGGAGGGAGGGAGGGAGGGAGGGAGGGAGGGAGAGGAGGAGGAGGAGGAGGGAGGAGGAGGAGGAGGAGAGGCGAAGGCGGAACAGGAGGAGAAGGAGGAGGAAAGGAGGGAAGGAGGAGGAGAGGAGGGAGGAGGAGGAGGAGGAGGAGGAGGAGGAGGAGGAGGAGGAGGAGGAGGTAGGAGAACGTAGGACAAGGTACCCGAAGGTCGGCAGGGGTCCCCAGAGGCCTCCAAAAGCGTCCGGAGGCACCCGGAGGCCCCGAAACATGCCCAGAGCATCAGTAACCTCGACCCTAGAGCATCGAAGGGAAATGAAGACCCTGTGGTTCGACCCTGTGGTTGGTGACTGAGGGCGTCCGCCCCGCAGCGAGTTCCTCCACCCCGAGGGGTCTGCGGGCCAGCGCAGTGCGGGCGGCGAAAGGCATCCCGAAGAGGCGCCCCAAAGGAGTGTCCCGAGGAGGATGCGCCCCCCCCCCCCCCCCACACACCTCCGAGGATGGTCCTTGAACCTCGGAGGAGAGGGGGGAGCAGGGAGGTCGCAGAAGGAGGATGAGGAGGGAACAAAAGGGGATGATGGAGGAGGAGGAGGCGGAGTAGGAGGGGGAGGAGGAGGAGGAGGAGGAGAGGGATTGGGGGGCATTGAGGAGGGGAACAGTAGAAGGAGCATTGAGAATGGAGGAGGGTGGAAGAGACAGACGAAGGAGGAAGATGGAGGAGGACGGAGGAGGACGGAGGAGGAGGGTGAGGCAAGGAAGAGGATGGAGGTGTGTGGATGGAGCAGGCCAAAGGAGGACGCCTCCACCCTGGCGAGGCGCATGGAGGACAGCCAGCTCGAGGACAAGGCGGCCGCCGCCGCGGAGCGCGAGCGCCTCGAGGCGCCCCGGGGCCACGGGGCGGGCGGCTCCTTGTGCGGGAGGGCGCGGGAGCACCCTCCTCGGGTGGGGCACGGAGGAGGGGGGCCTCCTGGCGGGCGGCTCCTCAACGGGACGGCGCGGGGGGAGCAGCCCTCGGGACGGCACGGCAGGGGAGGGAGGCCAGGCCCTCTCGGGCGCGGGGCGCGGAGCGCGGCGCGCCCGCCGAGGCCGAGCACCGGCGGCTGCTGGAGCTGCAGCAGGCGGTCCGCGACAGCGACAGGAGTGCGGTGGCCTCGCCTGGCGGCCCGCGTCGTCCCCGCGCCGTGTTGCCGCGGCCTCGTCGTCGTCGTCGTCGTCGTCGTCGTCGTCGTCGTCGTCATTGCCGTCGACGCGGGTCGGCCCCGTGTGGGGGTGGAGGTTGTCAGGGGCAATTGTTTGAGGGAGAGGTGGGTTCGGGGCAGAAGAAGCTTGAACCAGGAAATCGCCGCCAAGCCCGAAAACAGGGAGGGGTGGGGTAAACCCGAACCCCCCCGCGGAAGGGCGAAACCCGAAAACTCGGTGGGTTTAAACCCGAAGTCGCGAGAATGGGTGCACCCGAAACCGCAGGGAGGTGCGATCCGAAATTTGGGGTGGTTCGGCCCAGACGCGTGAGAGGTTCGAGGCGACTGGGGAGTGGAGCAGAATTTGTTTCGCTCCCTTGGCGTTGCCACGTGGCGCGCGCGCGAGCCGGCGCGCGCGCGCTCGCGGGCGGCGGGCGGGCGGGCGCGCGGGCGAGCGGGCGGGCGGGCCCGCGGGCGGGTGGGCGCGCAGGCGGGCGGGCGGGCAGCCGGGTGGGCGGGCGGCGGGCGCGCGCGCGCTCTGGCGGGCGGGCGGGCGCGCGGGCGTTCGCTCCGCAGGCGCTGCCACGCGGCGAGTACAGTGGAGTAGTATTTGTTTCCCCCTTCGAGCGCTCTCACGTGGCGAGGAGATTAGAGCAGCATTTGTTTCGCTCCCCCGGCGTTGTTTTCCGCGTCCCGCAGGAAGTGGCCCAGGAGGGCTCCTTAACGGTCCCTGCGCGAACACCCCCGTGTTATGCCCGCGCCCCATCCGAGCACATTCCGTTTATGTCCCGCGCTGCGAGCCAGCCGCAGGAGCAGCAAGGAGGCTCTGAAGCATGCCTGGGCGCAGCTTGAGGACGCCCCGGGCGCGGCCCCCGCTTCCCTCCGTCCGAGGAGGAGGGGGATCAGGCGGGAGGATCATGCAATGCAGCTCCTCCTGAGGATCAGGGCTCGAGGATCGAGCTTTTTCTGCGATTCTGAGCGTTTCTGGAGGTCGTGGAGGTTTAGCGCGTGTCCTGATGGGTCCCCCTCCTTGTGGAGGTGGCGCCCCCCCTGGTGGTGATCTCCCTTGGCACTGCCTGGGAGAATTGGAGGATCGAGGATCGAGGATGAGGGTTTGGATCAAATCGACGTGTTTGGATCTTGTGGGTCTCCGTAAGCCTCTGCGGCCTTCGGAGGCCCTTGGGGACCTCCGCAGACCTCCAGTGACTTCCGAAGGCCTCTGAAGGTGTTCGGCGGGGACGGAGGATCGAAGAGTGGATGGTAGACGGAGAATGAGGAGGAGGAGGAAGAGGAGGGAAGAGGAGGAGGAGGAGGAGGAGGAGGAGGAGGAGGAGGAGGAGGAGGCGGAGGAGGCCGTGGAGGAGGCGGAGGAGGAGGAGGAGGAGGGGGAGGAGGGGGAGGAGGGGGGAGGACGTTCGAGGATCGAGGCATCGATGCGTTGAGGGTCGAGGTGTCCAGACGTCCGCTGCGAGTTGCCTAGTATGCCCTATTCGGGCTGCCATGCAGAGGTCTCCAGAGGCCGTGGGTAACCTACGGGACCTCCAGGAAGGTACGGGGGAGGAGTAGGACCTGGAGGGTGATCATGATATTTTTGGCGCTTTCTGGGCGTCCTAGGGCGCTCAGGTAGTCACGGCTGGATTCGCCTCGGAGATGTGGACAGAGCGCATCCCGTCCGATGCAGTGGCGCAGGTCAGGATGCCGTCCAGGGCACAGGTCGCCTTCCAGGCAGGGCACAGCTGAGCACGCGAGCCCGTGGACCCGCAAAGTATCCGGGACAGGCAATAATGGGAATGAGGGGCCGTGGGAATGGGGGAAGGGAACTGGCCAAACATCTCACACGCCATATCACCATCGGCAAGCGGGGGTCGGCGAATCCGGCTACGCGAATAGGTGGCACTTCGCCCGAGTGTTCCCGGGTGCGGGTCCACAGGAGCCCCCCCAGCACTGGTCTGCGCAATTGGACTTGGCCTTCCACGGCCCGCGGCCCCCTGATGCCGCGCGGCAAATGCCACTCTTGCCACTCAAGCCGAATCCTGGCAGGACCCCGAGACGCTCTCCCACCCAGGCCCCCCAGCGGCGCGAGGGCGATCCCGCCTCGCGCTTGCCCGCACGCGCATCCGAGAGGTGCTCGCTCTCCGGGCAGCGGCTCGAGAGCGCGATGATGATAGCGACTCGTGCGTCGCGCAGCGCTGCTCGGGTGGGGGGTTCCGGCTATACACCTGCACCTGCACCGATCCCGGCAGGGCTACTCCTGGGCCCAGGATGTCTTCCTGGCCAGGGCGAGGAGGGTGTGTATACACCGACCTTGGGCTCAGGGTGGGCCTGGCCAGGATCGGTGCAGGTGTGCAGTTCGCGTCCTTCTATCCCTTCTCCGCAATAGGAAGAACACGGCCGCCGCATCGCCCCCAGCACCGCTCCCGACCCCTTTCCCAGGGGGCAGCTCTCGTCCCGTATCCATTTCCAACGGTCGGCGCCGCCGCGGGGCCCGAAAGCGCCCCCAAGAAGCCGAAAGGGAAGAGAAAAAACACACCTCCCCAGGATGTTTAGACCACTTCCCCGGACCAGTTTTCCATCCCGAATCGTTTTTCGTTTGTCCCCGGCCTGGCGAGGGGCTCTCAGGGCCCGAAAGTTGCCAAACACCTTCCGTCATGACTGTTTCACAGCGGGAGGAGATCAGGTAACGTCGGGATTGAGCAAATGAATCCTTCGGAGGTCGGGGGTTCCTTCGCGGGAGGATCAGCGCCACCGGCAGCGCGCGGGGAAGTGGCAAGAGAGCGGCAGGAAAGCGTCACCTTTCGCGTTGAAGGTGGTCGGAGAGCGGCGAGGAGGGCGCGAACCTTTCTCTGAGTGCGGTGGGAACGTGTCCTGTCGACGCGGCGGCGACCCCAGCGCGAGCTTTCAGGGTTGGACGCCGCCAGTGGCCCAGACGTGCCAGATCTGGAACGATCTGGCCATCGAAAAACCGTCGATGGTCCAGGGTGGAACGAAGTACGCGGTGTCAGAAACCAGCGCCGTGGGCGTCATGACACGCACGCGCCGTATCCGTGAGGGCGGCGCCAGGCGAGGACGGAGGTGGAGGAGGAGGTGGTGGAGGAGGAGGAGGAGGAGGAGGAGGAGGGAGGAGGAGGAGGGGAGAGGAGAAGGAGGATGAGGAGGAGGAGAAGGATGGGGGGGGGGGGAGGGCGACCCCTGTGCTACCCGTCAGGGGAGCCCTGGGCTCCTCCGCCGGCGCGGGCGAGGACGGCCGCCGGGCCCTCCAGCAGGAGCGCCTCGCCTTCGAGGGCGACGCCAGCGCCCGCAAGGAGGAGGCGCCCCTGACCGACGCCTGGGCGGGGGCGCGCGCGTGTCTCGCCTCGTTCCGCCTCCTCTGTAGGCCTCCAAGATGGGATCGGAGCAGATGGGGTTGGAAGAACGGGCCGTATTGTCGATGCATCGCCAGTGCGGTTCGATGTGGAGCTCGATGTCCTTCATGTCGACGTCGCCGCTGCAACGCCGACGTCGACTATGCATCGCCAATGCATCGCCGATGTATCGGTGATGTATCGGTGATGCGGCAAGATCCCCCGACCCCATCTACTCAGACCCCTTCGAGGAGGCCTCTAGTCTCCCTCCCTCCCTCTTTCCTCCTTCGCTCTTCGTGGCCATCGACCCCTCATTCGGTGCCGCCTCTGCTTTAGTGACGAGGAGGAGCGAGAAGAAGCGAGGAGTCATCAAGAGGATCGGAATGAGGACGGAAAGGATATAGAAGCAGACCAACAGTTCCCATCCAGGTTCAGCAGGAATCGCTGTCGGTGTCGCCGCCGCCGTCCATTTGGGACTAGCGTCGCTTGTCCAGCAGCAGCCGCTTCTGCTTTTGGACAAAATTTGCTGTTGGGTCGCCCCCCTTCTTTCCTTCACAATTTCGGACGTGTGCCAAATGGAGGGGGAGGAAACGCTTTCAAAGAGGATCAAGAAGATTTCCCAGTGCACTATGCTAAACGCTTCCCGTGAGTCTGCCCCCTCTGCCGCTAGCTCGACAGACAGGGTGGGACGGGCGCAAACGGTCGCATCACAAGGGCGAGTGAGGTAGCGATCTTGACAGGGATTCCTCGTCCTCCTCGTCCTCCTCCCTCAACCTCTTCCACTTGTTCCTTGTCCAGGGTTGTGAATGGGTGATTGTCGTACCCAGACGTCCGATGGGTTTCCCCAATTAGACTTGCCACCGGGTTCTTTCTTGCTTAAAGGTTGGTGCCTCTGGGGCTTACTGTGCACGTTCCCCGGAGGTCCCTCAGGTTATCTGGGTTCCCCGGGTCCCTCGGGTTCCAAGCCCCCGGTGCCTCCTATCGTTACGTTGCCCGTTCCCCAGAGTTTCTTCCGGTTCCCCTGGTTCCTCGGGTTCCCCGCCCCGGGTGTTTTTTGTTGTTACGATGCCCGTTCCTCGCAGGTTCTTCGGGTTCCCCGGGTTCCTCGGGTTCCCTGGGTTCCCCAGGTTCCCCGAGTTCCTCGGATTCCTTGGGTCCCTGAGTTCCCCAGGTTCCTCGGGATCCCCAGGTTCCCCTGCTTCCTCGGGTTCCCCAAGCAATGCCAAACAAAGCCAAGCAAAAGCAATGCCAAACAATGCCAAGCACTGCGCCCATGCAAGAATAAGTTTTCCCCTGATTGGGGTCGCGCCAAGCTCATTTTCATCCGCGGGCCCCAGAGATCTGAACATATTCTCCAGGGGCAAGTCTTCGTCCCAGATCCGTTTTTTTATGACCCCCATGCCCGACATCGCCCCTGGATGCTGGAATCCAGGAACGCACCCAGATTGGCACGAATTTGTGGAGTCCGAAACCTTGAGCGCCAGGAAGGCCTTCTAACACCTCTCGAAGGATCTCTGGAAGCCCTTGGAAGGAGCTTCCGTTGGAGCTTTTGGAAAGCTTGACAGCACACGTATTGGAAAACAGTTAAAGAAGGCCTCCCGGAAGAAGGAACGAACTCCAGGGTTATTTTGCGGTGTCGGCTTTTATTCTCACAACCCTTCAGCGGCGGAGGAGGAGGAGGCGGTGGAGGAGGCCTCAGGTCAGCTGTCCAGGACGATGAGAAGAGGCGCACCGTCACCTTCGGGAATTTCCCAGAGGACACCAAGAGCGAGTAGATCATCGAACAGATCAACAAGCTGCTGGCGGCTGTGACGGCGGACCTGGGGAAGGACGGGGTGTATGCACACGGCAAACGGTACGCGACGAGAGGGGGTGCACGGTTCAAGACTGAGGAGGCCATGACGTCTTTCTTGCGGAAGCCTGACACGCCGAAGTCGTTCGAGATTGGGGGGCGGCGTATTTACCTCAACCAGGACGTGCGCAAGACGCCAGAGGACGAAGCCAAGGACAGAGCTGTCCGGAAGCTCGTCAGAGCAGTGATCGAGAACGAGGGGGGGGGAATGGGGACATCGTGAAGGCAGACATCGACGCGGACTACCGCCGGGGGATCGTGGGATGCCCGGATTGGCGAGTACAAGAACGGCAACATGGAGCTGAAGGGCGAGGGCATCAAGCTGGAGGCTCGGTACCTGGCGCTGCTGGAGTAGGGCCCGGCTGCTGCTGATGAGGTTGTTATTCGGGGAGGCTGTCGTCAGGGAGGCGACGACAGGAGACGGAGAGGAGGAGGCAGAGGTAGAGGTAGAGGTAGAGGTAGAGGTAGAGGTAGAGGTAGAGGAGGGGAGACAGGGGCACCCGCGTGCCCAAGCGGCGGGCGCGGCGCTTGTCAGTCAGCAGAGGGCGACTTTCCAGCTGCAGCTCTGCGCGGCATACGCACTCATATTTTTGGCACAGGATCCCACGATGCTGTCGTAACGATTCCCGTGGCGCCTGCAAGCGAGGAGACTGAGATTTGCGTTTTGGGTAAGAACCTCCAGTCTATTCAGACAGATGTTCGGGAGTCGGAGTTTTTGACTGAACTATGTTTTCTTGAATCGGACGTTGCGTTATTGAGCGAAACCTGGCGCGAAAGCGCGCGGGAGAGATGGTCGTTTGACGACGGATGCATGTTTTGCGGGTCTGGTGGAACCAAGGGGGGCCGAGGCACTGCGATCATGCTGCGCCGGCGATTGGCTGTTGGCTTCCACGCCTTCCACGCAGTGAACGACAGACTGCGCGCCCTGGGCGTCAATATCGGGGCCCACCGGTTTCGCTTCATCTCTGTTTACATGCCGCACGGTGGTGATGCAGACGCTGATGTTGACGAAATGTATCATTCGATTGAGGGTTTACTTTCCGATGCTCGTGCCTTGCGGCGGTCGCGCGTCGTTGGAGGCGATTGGAATGCGACCGTTGGGGCCCGACAGCCCAGCGATGATGCTGACGTGGTGGGTTTGCACGGTGTTGGAGACCGCAACGCCCGAGGAGAACTGTTAGTGCAGTGGGCAGCTGGCCATAATCTGGTACTTGCCAATGCGATCTTCGATAAGGGTTTCGACAAATTGTGGACGCACCAGAATGGAGCAAGCAGGCGACAGCTCGATTATTTTCTGGTGAGTATGGATAAATCACGGTGCATTGCCGACGCAGAGGCTACTGAAGATATAGGATATAGGCGTCGGCGTTGACCACCGCACTGTCCGGCTGACTCTGTCCCCTCCTCGGTCCAAGAGCAAGGCGGGGGGCCAGCGCGCCAGACGCGGTTTCCGCGGCTGGAAGCCGAGCAACAGCGCTCAGTACCGAGACGAATTGGACGCACGCCTCCGCGCTTCCTGCAGCGGCTCTGACCCGACACCAGACTTGGAAAGCAGATGCGTTGCTATCGAGAGTGTTCTCAAACATGTTGCGGAACAGTGTCGGCAAGTTGAAGCAGACGTTGTTTCCGACGCAGAGGCTTCGCGACAGCTTCTCCACAGCCTTATCGACCAGCGCAGGGCAGCTCGCAGGGCGGGCGCGAAGGATACTGTCCAGGACGTCAGGAAAAATATCCGGAAAGAGATCAAGCAATTGGATGTGCACGGAAGAGTGCGAAAACAATCATCATCTTGGCTGAGTTCCGGGACCTGCAACCACTCGTGGACATCCGGAACAGCGGCAAGAGAGATTGCATCTGCTCCGTGGTCGACGAAAACGGGACCGAGAAAACTGACATCAATGACATCGCAGAGGTATTTGCTAGCTTTTTTGAGTCGTTGAACGACGGGGCGCCTGGAGCTTATTGTTGCGATGCGGGTGCCAGCCGAGTGCCTGCTGTCACGCCCGACGAAGTCCTGTCTCAGCTGAAACGCACGCGGCCGGGCAAGGCGCCCGACGAGGGAGGTATCGTCGCAGAGATTATCCGACATGGGAACGCATTGCTTTTCAATATGATTGCTGCTATGTTCTCAGCCGTCTTGAAGCCAGGGACAGCGATCCCGGGGTACTGGAAGGCGTCTTCAATACGAGTTTTGTTCAAGAAGGGTGATCCGAGGTTCGCAGAGAACTATCGGCCTATTTGCATCATTCCCATATTGCATAACTTGTTCAGTCGGGTGCTGCGCGGGCGCATATCTGGGATACTCACTGCAGCACGGTCGTGCGATCAGGCGGGCTTCCTGCCTGGCTACTCCTGCGATGACCACCTTTTCGCGCTGACCCTTATTGCAGAGAAATGCAACGAGTATAATGTGCCTCTTTGGGCTGCCACGCTTGATTTTAAGAAGGCCTTCGACTCGATTGACCACAGCAGTATTTGGGCGTCTCTGCTTTCTCACGGCGTTCCGCCAGCGTATGTGGACGTCCTTTCCAGACTCTACCAGGGACAACGCGGTCGACTTCGGAACGCTGCCATCAGCCGCGAGTTCGGCATCCGCAAGGGGACCAAGCAGGGAGATCCAATCAGCCCCATTCTATTCAATTCTGTCCTGGAGGAAGTCATGCGCAGGGCCAAAGTGAAGCGGGGCTCACGGAATTACGGCATTCAGCTTGGGTATGGTCCGGATTCGTTCGCAACTAACCTGCGATTTGATCATCGGCCGCGCGTTGCCTCAAGTGAAGCAGATGCTGGTAGACATTGTCGAGGAGGGCGGGACGGTTGGACTCGTCTTGTACCCCGCTAAGACAAAGACCCAGCACAATAATATTGGTTATGGCAGCCGCGTCAGGAATGCGAGGGTAGCTGGCATGGAGATCGAAGTCCTGGATCCAAGGGAACATGCCATGTACCTCGGGAGGGCCCTCTCGCTAACCGACGCGCACGATTCGGAACTCACCCACCGGATCCGGAAGGCGTGGTCGAAGTTTGGCGTGTACCGTGGCGAACTCCTCGACAAGGCCGTGCCTTTGTCCTTGCGGTTGAAGCTGTTCCACGCTGTGCTCATCCCAACTATCTTATACGGTTGCGTATCTTGGGTGATGACAGAGTCGAGGATGGCGCGGCTGAGATCCACCCAGCTGAAGACGATTCGCATGATCTTCGGGCGGAGCCGCGAGCGGGAGCCGGATGGAGTACTGGAGACGGGTAGAGTGGCTGCAGCGGGTTACCCCGGAGGCGAAGAGTGCGATGCATGAGTGCGGAGTGCCGCTCTGGGACGCCGAGCTGCAAACCCGCCAGCGTCGGTGGGTCATGCACGCGGAGGCGATGAGTCACGACCGTTGGGCGAAGAAGGCACTCAACTGGCAGCCGAGTGGTTTCCGTAGCAGGGGCCGCCCCGCCACGCGTTGGGCTGACCAGCTCGCATCTCTGAGCGCTGAGCCCTATGGGCATGCTGCCGCGCGGGCGCCGCGCAGCACGTACTCAGCGACCCTCGACCCTCGACCATCAGCTCTCTACGAGCTATCCGGGAAAATTAGCCGCCATGTGTCGAGGCTTCCTCGCCCAGGATCAGCTTGTGCCGTCACCAAGCAGCGAGATCGGAGGGCCTCAGCCCCGTTTCGCAGGCCCTGAGGGGCTCCGCCGCCCTGGGTGGACGTGTCGCTCGCGCTCGCACGCGCTCTCCCTCCACACATTTCCGACGACATGAGCGAAAGAGGGACGCACACGTGCATTGATCCACGCTGGTTTCGAGAGTACGCATTGCGCGAATGCTCGCACCACGCGGCGGGTCTCGCGGATCTGTTCAATTTGCGTGTTGCTCCCTGATTTCGGCATCCCAAGGGCTGTTTCCAGGTCCCGGGGCCATGACAAGTGGATCATGGGACTCAGAATTGTCCCCGGGAGGAGGGGCTCCTGACGCCGCGCACTGCTCCATCCCCGTTGGGAGAGCCTTGGCCCCGCCAGCCGGCCGTACCCCCCCGAAAGTAGGCGGGCGTAGGTGCCGTTTCCGTCGGACGGGTTTCGCGGCATCCATCACCACCTCGAGGGTTCAGGTTGGTGGGGATGCGGATGGGGACAGGCCTGACGATGCTGATTGCCAGGTTGGACGCCGCCGCCGGGCGGCGAAAACCTTCGAAAGCAGGCAAAAAGAGTATAAAAGACACGCCGCCGTTGGGACCCCGTCGGCGTTTCTTGCCGTCGCCTTTGTGAGAAGACATGCCGTTTCGCCAAAAGTAACACGCATGATGGATTTCCCTCGGCGCCGTGCCATTGGTACTGTTTCTGCTACGCCTTCCTCCTCCTCCTCCTCCTCATCCCCTCCTCGTCCTCATCTACTCGCCTCCGCTCCCCCTGCCCCCGGGCGTGGGGGGGCTCCTTCGCGCTTGCAGGCCGACGTGCAGGACCGGCACCTGCGGCAGGAGGCCGAAAGGCTGCAGATGCTGCACCAGCAGGTCGAGGCGCTTCCCCGGGCCCTCGCCTGTCGTAAGGGGGGGGAAGCATCGATCTGGCATCGGCGATGCATCACCGATACATCGGCGGTAGGCCTCGATAGCGAATCCACACGCTCCTGGGCGGGGTGGGGCTATCAGACCCCTGTCGGCGATTCATGGACGATTTGGGGTCGATGCGCCCCCCCTACTCATATTCCCCTCTATCTTTGCCCGGATGCTGGGGGGGCCCAGGGGAACGAAGCCATCTTCGAGTGCCATCGTCGACGTCCTCGTCGATGCCCTCGTTGTCACCCTCGGTCGTCGTCCTCGTCGCACCCGTCGCTGCCTTGGTCGTCGCACCGCGGAGGGGGAGCAGAGACAGAAGCAGAACCGGACCAGGAGGAAGGTCAGGACGAAGGTGGGATGTGGGTGGAAGAGGGGAGGCGAGGCTCCGTCCTCTCCTTGCGCCTCCTCGGATGACGCCCGGCGACAAGACGACCAGGGGGACGACGAGAAGGCAGATGGCGATAACGACGAGGACGACGACGATGACGATGACTCGGCCAGGTGGCCCGGCAGAACGCCTCGCGCCGCATCCGCGAGACCGAGGCCACGATCGCGGGTGAGCGCCGCAGCCTCATGACCGACTTGGAGGCGTCGGCGAGGGTGGAGGGCGTCGGAGGAGGAGGGGGAGGAGGGGGAGGCGGAGGCGGAGGAGGAGGAGAAGGAGGAGGAGGAGGCAGTGCAGGGGGGAATTTACGGGTGGGGTGAGGAAGGGAGCACTTTTCCGAGCAACGAGGAAGGGGCGAAAGGCATTTTGGGGGAATCGACACGGAAGCATTATAAATGGACGAACACGTCGAGCGTGATATAATCGACGGCGACAAAGAACGCCATCGGTGGTTCATGTGGATTTCTTGTGTCGGCGCTGGACGCCACTCCGTGGCACGCGGAGCGCGCAAGGGGCGGTTCCGCCAGGGGGGCTCAGCGCCAATCCAGGGAATCTGGGGAAGGGAGGGGGGGGGGCGTGGGGAAGGGACAACGTTGGGGGAGGATAGACTCGGGGGGGGCGCATCGAACCTTAGTCGCTAATTCACCTACGACAGGTGCCCGATAGCCCATCCTGCCCAGGAACGTGTGGTTTCGCTATCAGAGGTTATCGCCGTTCTTTCGGCGATGTATCGCCAATTCAGGCTCGATGTTGCCCCCTCTCAGATGTTCCCCCCCTCGTTCCCCCTCAGTGGGGAAACGTCAAGGTGGGATGAGGGAGAGCGCACCTTTCTGGCACCTGTTGTCCGTTTTCATGCACCCCAGTCGCCTTGTCGTCTCCAACGTCTCGAACAACTTCAGTACATGGCTTCAATTTTCGGCGCGGTTTCAGGCCCCGCGGCCGTGAGTCAAAAGACTCAGGATGAGAAGCCCGTCCCGAGGATGGACAAATCGCTCCATTGGAGGCCTGGGGAGAAGACTCCTCGGACGACCTCCTGATGGAGGTCCGGGCCCTCCTCCGAGGTGGGGCTGGTGGAGGAGGCCTCAGACCTCCCGGTGCACAGGAGGAGGAGGAGGGGTTGAAGGGGGCGAGGAGGACGAGGAGGAGAGAAGGGTGGGGAGGATGGGGTGGATGACAGGGAGGAGGGGGAGCAGCAGGAAGAGAGGATGATCGAGGATCGGACCCTCCTGGTCCTCCGTGGGCGAGCCCGCGCGCGCCTTAGCAAGTGCGCGGTGCCAGGTCTACGAGGAGAAGCGCGTGGCCCTCGCCGAGGAGGCTGCTGGCTGGCCTCGGGGGGCAGGCGGTGGCCAGAGCGCGGCGTGCCGCCCCGTTCGCTGCTCGCCCCTCTCGCCGCAAGAACAGAGCTCGACCTGAACGGTGCTTTGACGGCTTCGTGGGCCGTGTTCGCTTTGATTCCGTTGTTCAGCACAGGAGGAATGAAGACCAAGCGAGGGGACACGTAAACAAAACGAACACGAAAAACACCGTTTTGGTCGAGTTTTGTGCAAGACATCCGACAATATGTACATTCTTCCCTTCTCCGCTGCGCAGCGGTCGGCTCTTTGGGGCGCGCAGGTCCTTCGAGCTGCCCAGGCGAGCTCCACGGCGGTTCCTGGCAGTTTTTGGCCCCTGGGGTGCCTCACCGAGCCACGTGACCGTCAAACGACGGTTCGAGATGAAAAACCGGCCCCGTGGAATCGGTCGAGATTCCGTGGGGTCCACGCTGTGAGAAATTACCCAAGGATGTTACCCCTCCGTTCCGCAACAAGTGGCACCATCAACGGGCCCATCCCAGACGAATGAAGATCTGACAGGGCACGCGTTCATTTTTGGGAGCTCCAGGTCCGCTATGACGCATATCCGCGGATAGAGAACAAGTCAGTGCATTGGGGGATGTGCGGGACGGGTCGGATGTCTGATATGGCGTGAGCGCGCCTAGTTTGTCTAACCTCCCTCACCTCCCTCACCTCCCTCTCCTGTGTCCAGTTTCCAGTGTTGGCAGCATAATCCGCAATCCACAGGCAGCAGAAACAACCGCAGAAAGCAAAGGGAGCGAGGACAACGGGAGTAGATACACCACTTACCGAACTTTTAGTGGTGTACTACGCTTGAAGACATGACCTGTGACACTCGGATCGCGGTCTTCTTTGAGAAGGGACAGCGACCGCATAACATCATCGTTACGAGGCTTCTTGTTGCAAGGTCCCAGTGACAAGTGCATACGCTGCCTCGCAAACAAGACACGTTTCGAGCACTGAAGGATGTGGAGTGGGAAGAATGCACCATCCGAGCCACTCTGGTCCAGCCTGGGCACTTGTAACTGGCCAGAGAGGAAGACGTGCGTCCTGACTCCATGCAACGCCCGCACAAAGATCCCCTCCCCAGGCGTAAGATGACATGGCCCTTGGGGTCTGGACGCGAGCACTAAACCACAATCAGGACGACCCTTCTTTGCCACAATTTTGGTGACATCTCTGATCGTCGGCTTTCAAACCTGCTCGAGAATGGCACCCGTGAATTTGTTTAGCGGAACGATCTTGTCTCGTTGTTTCTCGAATTGTTGCAGAAGGTACTCTGAGTATCTCAATAGTTCTGGGGTGACCAATAGTCCGGGGGGGGGGCCATGTAGTCCGGGGGGGGCCGTGTAGTCGGGGGGGGGGCCGTTGTAGTCCGAAAGGGGGGCCCTTGTAGTCAGGGGGGGGCCCTTGTAGTCCGGGTGGTGTTCCTGTAATCCGGGGGGGGGGGCACTGATCTTCGCGGGGCGACGTCCTGCTCGACGACCGCGGACATGCGCCCCATGCAAAGGACCAGGCAAAGTGGCCGCAGTTGCGCGCGTGGCCCGCGGTGGGCCCATGCAAAGGGCCAGGCAAAAGGCCCACGCAAAGGGCGCAGGCAAAGTGGCCAGGTGGTGGCTGTAGCCCAGGGGGGATCCTTGTAGTCCGGGGGGGGTCCCTGTAGTCCATGGGGGAGTTCGCTTGTAGTCCGGGGGGGGGTCCTTGTAGTCCGGGGGGGGGGTCCTCGTCGTCCGGGGGGGGGGGGCCTTGTAGGCCTTGTAGGCTGGGGGGCTCTTGTAGTCCGGGGGCCTAGAACTACTGAGGTACTCAGAGTACTCAGGATGTGGAATCGCACTCTAGCTTCATCTTTGGCCAAGCGGTCCACTATCCTGTTCTCTTTCCATGTCCACACGGGGACTTTAGAATCCAAAGCAATATGCCAGCCCTCATGAGCTGGAACTTTCACAAGCTGAATGTTTTCGGGACCCCGATCCCTACGCCGGAAAACACATCTCATGCCCAAATTCGCCATACGAAATCGCAACCGTGTCAATTTCCGTCTCTTGGGCCCAGGCCGCCATCAGGCTCTCACAGTCGGTCGCCAGCACACGCGGGTCTGGACCCAGCAGACGCAGGGCCACGAACACAGCATGCACTTCGGCACCAGATATGATGGTGTGCTGTCCATGCTCATGGGATCCACATGCACTGGCTAGCACAGTACCTGCATCATCTACAACCGCGAACGCCCACGCAGCCCGAGTAAAGACGGGACGTTCAGGGTGGAGGACAGAGCCATCCGTGCAGATACTTCCGCGAATCCAGCCGTCGCGAGGAGGAGCGACTCACCTCCAGGATTATTATGTTCCAACCTACTTTAGCCTTGAACGCCAGAAAGTACGGAAACTTGTGGATTTTCACGTGTCGGGCCCTGGGTGGCGATACTCGTTCGACATTGTTTGGATGTTTCTCTGGGTGCTCGAACTTGCTTCTGGGATTTGGTCCTAAGTATATACGATGGGAGCAACATGACTCCAGGAGCTGACACCGCGCAGCCGTGGCGTGAACCAGGACAGAAGCGGGTCATCTGGGCCTCCCGACCTCCATCCTTTAAGCTCTTTGTCGAAGCTCAGGGATCTCCTGTGTGGGGGGCGACGGCACCACAACAAAGCATGCGGTGGTGGCGAGATCCTTTCCCAGCAAAACCGATCTGGCTCCTGTCGTCAATCACCTGCCTATCTACGATAGAGCGCGCGCGTGGGGCCCGATAGACTAAAAGGGGGCCCCAGCTTGAAGCTACCCCCCTCCCCCCTTCCTTGCTAAAGGGGGGGGGGGCTTCGGAAGCCCCCCCCCTCCCCTCCTTTTCGTGGTTCGGAAAGGGGGGGGGACTTCCAAGCTACCCCCCCCCCTCCCTCCCTTTAATTGAGCCGGGGTGAGCCACCCCCCCCCTTTGAAAGGGGGGGGGGGCTTCGGAAGCTACCCCCCCCTCCTCCCTTTTCGTGGCCGGAAAGGGGGGGGGGCTTCCAAGCTACCCCCCCCTCCCTCCTTTTAATGGAGCTGGGGTGAGCCACCCCCCCCCTTTGAAAGGGGGGGGGGCTTTGGAAGCCCTCCCCCCCTCCCCTCCCTTGGTGCAAAAGGGGGGGGGGGCTTGAAGCCCCCCCCCCCTTCCCCCCTTTGGCCGCCCAGCTCCCGGAGCCATCGCCCTCCCTTTCGCGTCCATTTATTCCCGCCCCTCTCCCTCCTCCTCTTCTTCCTTTTGCCTCCTCCTCTTCCTCGGTCTCCTCATCCTCCTCATAGTCATCATCGTCATCTCATCGTCATCATCATCATCATCATCATCATCATCATCATCATCATCATCATCATCGTACTCCCCCGCGGGTCCTTCCGTTCCGTTCCTCCTCCTCCTCCTCCTCGGTTTTCTCCTCCTCCTTCATTTTTCCCTCCTCCTCTTGCTCCTCCTCCTCCTCATCATCATCATCATCATCATCATCCTCTTCCTCCTCCTCCTCTCCTCCTCCTCCTCCTCCTCCTCCTCCTCCTCCTGATCCTCCTCCTCCTCCTTTCCCCCCTCCTCCTCCTTCTCCTCCTCCTCTCCTCCTCCTCCTCCTCCTCCTCCTCCCTCCTCCCTCTTCTCCTCCGCTCTCTCTTCTCCTCCTCCTCCTCCCTCCTCCTCTCCTCCTCCTCCCCCTCCGCCTCCCCCATCCTCCGCCTCCTCCTCCCCCAGCTGGCCGCCGTCTTACACGAACACTGCCAAACCCGACGGGCTGGCGTTTTCCGAATTACACTTCGTGCAACTTTCGGGGGGGATAGTATTTTTCCCAACCCTCCTTGGTTGGGTATTCGTTTTGAATAGAGCAGTGTGGTCTCCACTTCCTCCTTCCCGTCCCGTCTCCCTCTTGCCTCCTCCTGTCTTGCTTGCGGGGGGCTGCGATCTGTGAAACTGTCGCCACTTTCGAGGCTTGCTGGGGGGCCAGCACAGTGACGCCACGGGCGGACCCAAATTAGACCTCGCCATCCCTGGGGGGCTGCGATCTGTGAAACTGTCGCCACTTTCGAGGCCTGGGGGGGCTACGATCTGTGAAACTGTCGCCACTTTCGAGGCCTGCTGGGGGGCCCAGCACAGTGACGCCACGGGCGACCCAAATTAGACCTCGCCATCCCTGGGGGGCTGCGATCTGTGAAACTGTCGCCACTTTCGAGGCCTGCTGGGGGGCCAGCACAGCGACGCCACGGGCGGACCCAAAATTAGACCTCGCCATCCCTGGGGGGCTGCGATCTGTGAAACTGTCGCCACTTTCGAGGCCTGCTGGGGGGCCCAGCACAGTGACGCCACGCGCGGACCCAAATTAGACCTCGCCATCCTGGGGGGCTGCGATCAAACTGTCGCCACTTTCGAGGCCTGCTGGGGGGCCCAGCACAGTGACGCCACGGCGGACCCAAATTAGACCTCGCCATCCCTGGGGGGCTGCGATCTGTGAAACTGTCGCCACTTTCGAGGCCTGCTGGGGGGCCAGCACAGTGACGCCACGCGCGGACCAAATTAGACCTCGCCATCCCTGGGGGGCTGCGATCTGTGAAACTGTCGCCACTTTCGAGGCCTGCTGGGGGGCCCAGCACAGTGACGCCACGGGCGGACCCAAATTAGACCTCGCCATCCCTGGGGGGCTGCGATCTGTGAAACTGTCGCCACTTTCGAGGCCTGCTGGGGGGCCCAGCACAGTGACGCCACGCGCGGACCCAAATTAGACCTCGCCATCCCTGGGGGGCTGCGATCTGAGATCCCCGCTTTCGAAGTGGCCAGGGTTGCTCAGGGATTGCAACTAATCAGTTTTATCTAGTCCTTGTCCTGAAGCCAGTTTCCTGCGAGTCTCCCGAATTCCTTCTGCAGACATATGTAACCCTCGCTCCGTCATCGCCCCCCTTATAAAGTGTCCTAAACTATTTGCGCCCCGCGTTTGCGCAGGGGTTGGGTACGTCGCCAGGGTATTTTTTCGTTCC